TCATCTTTTCCCCAGTGTTGAGCTATTTTAAGCTTTTAATGATATATTTCACCATCCCTTCATGGAGCGGGGAGAGAGAGAGAGAGAGAGAGAGAGAGAGAGAGAGAGAGAGAGAGAGAGAGAGAGAGAGAGTTGGGGGGGAGGAGACACGAAGGCGGGGCTGTCCTGTTATGTAACCCATTTCAGGGAGGAAATCAGCAAGTCCTGAATGAATTCTGTTACTGTGCTGACTGCTGGAAAGTTTGCAGTTCTATTTTGAGGTGAGCAAGCCCATCATTTATAGACCTCCTCACAAATACCACAGCCGTTCACGTCACCCCGCAGCTTCCACAACAAAAACAGGTAAGAGACCTGCGGCCTCAGAACATGGGGTCTCAAGAGGAAAAAAAAAAAAAGACCTCATTAGCCTCCTCAGGCAGTTGCCAATTATTCAAAAATGTAAATATCCAAGAGCAAATAAATATTCATCTCCCACACCCTCCTCCCCTCGCGGCTTGGCGTTTTTAAACTAAGTCCAGCAAAATATTCTGCTCAACATGAAAAGAAACGTCTGTTTTCCACAGAGCCCTTGGCCATGAAATCATTTCTGGAAGCTATGAAAGCAACGTCTTCAGGCCGAGGGCAGCTGCGCAGGCCAGGGTGCTGGCTGAAAACAGGAAACCTACCATCACACAGTCCTCAAGGGCCCCCTAGTGGGCCAGACAGGAACAAGGTCATGACACCCACAGCACCCAGGTGGAAGCAAAGTGTGGCTAGCTCAGTGGCCCTGAGGCCCCACCCCTGCCCTCAGCCCCCCACTCCTCATTTCCCACCACCTACCCCTGCGCAGGGAGATCAGGCCAACCACTATTGACTGGCATATTGAGAGCCACGAAGGGGCAACCAGAAGCCCACACTGCAATGTGCCAGACAGTAAACCTGCAGTCCTACTGGCTGCCCACCTGAGCAAACCTGCAGTCCTACTGGCTGCCCACCTCATTCCCCCAGGCACAGCGGAGGATGCTGCACTGGAGCCCCTGTGCCAATGAAAACAACTGGGACACTGGCAGGTTTATCATCTGTCAACTGTGGCTCGCTGGACATTTGGGGTCTAGTTCTTCTTGGCTGTAGGGTCACTCTGTGCATTGCTGCCCCAACACTGGCCTTCACCCGCTGCATGACGGGAGCATGCCTGCTGCAAGACCCCAAAACATCTGCAGATGCTGCCACGTGTGCCCACAAGAGCAAATCCACAGCTGGGGTAAATGAATAAAACATGATCTGCTTTCTACACTGCAGCTTAGAAACTTTTTTTTTTTTTGCCTAAAACATGACTGCAGTTTTCATTCTTCTATCTCTCGATTATATAAAAAGGACGGGTGGCAGCATTACGGTGCAGCACGTTCAGCCTCACTCTGCATCGCCAGCATCGCCTACGACATCTGGTTTGAGTCCCAGCTACTCCACTTCCAGCTCCCTGCTAATACTCCTGGGAAGGTTTAAGAAGATGTCAAAAGTAGGTGTCTGCCACCCGCGTGGGAGGCCAGCACAGAGCCCAAGCCTCCTGGTTTTGGTCCAACCCAGCCCCAGTCACTGCAGCCGATGGGGGAATGAGACAGCAGATGGAAGATCTCTTAAAAACAGAGACGAGACGGCACCGTTTTCAAGGACTACGGTATAAATACGACAGAGCCTGCGCTTTCTGCCTCTCTCCATCTCTCTAACACGCACTTCTTGAAATTCTTGATCACTCTCGAGAGTAAAAAATACCTGGTGTTGATTTGGGTTTCACTTTCTGCTTCTTGTTCTTCTGATGGAAGACATGTTCTTTGCATTTTACATACTGCACGGCCGACACGACGCGGAGGAAGTGAACCCCAGGTTGTCACCTGTTTCCATGCAAATTCCAATGAGCCCCCAAGGCAGAAGGAACACAAGCTTTATTGGGCACAACAACAGGCCACGCCGGCAAACAAGGACAGTGGGATCCTCAGAACACAAGCGCTCACATGCGGGCCGTCGCAGGCTGGAGCTGCTGTTACAGAAAAGCAAACGGTCCCAGAGCTTCCCTCGGCCACACAGCACATCCCGGGGCAGGTGTGCAAGCAACCGCTGATGAACGAATCACAGATCCCAAACAAGCTCCCGGTCAACTGCACCCCAACAAAATCACAATGTATGCACACATCACCTCTCCCACCCCCTGCAAACATCTGAAACACAGCGTTCACGAACATGGCCCAGCCTGCACCGCCGACTGTGCTGACGGAAAGGACAGACAGGTGACGTGGCTTTGGCACGAACGGAAATAACAACAAAAGCTGCACATCAAAAGAAAGAGGGGAGACATCAAATCTGCTGTATTTGCAAAACTTGTCGAGCATTTTTAAAACAAAAACAGACCTGGGAGTAGAGGAGTATTTCTTCAACAAACTCTCAATGACTTGAAAAAAGTTTGGGGAACATGGGATTGAAATCTAAGTTTACTTTGGTGCAATGAAAAGTGGGAGGTCGGTATCTATGCATAGTTTTTTCACCATATGCATTTTCATTATCTTCTTGCAATCTTGGTGTGCATACACTTCAATCTTTTTTTTTTTTTTGCACTGAAATAAACTTATCTTTTAATTTGGTTTCCCATGGACATTTTGAAGCACGCTCACGCACGTGCACACACACACACACACACACACACACACACACACACTTTAAATACACAAAATGACTTAAGGGTAAAGTAGCTGATAGATGGCTCCTTCAAAGAGGAAAAACTGTGTAATGTTCATTTGCAATTCCCAAGGGGTTTAAAACACTGCCTACAGAAGCAGGAGTGTGTTTGCCCCAGCAAAAACAAGACAGCATCCACACACAGTCTGGGAAAAAGCAACAGGCATTCAATTGCCGATTTCCAATAAACACAAAATGTAAAACACATTAAAAAGTGTCGTTAATGCCGACATCCCGGCGCAATGAACTACGCTGCCACTTGTGGCCACCAGCATCTCGAATCGCAGTGTTGGTTGGAGCCCCAATTGCTCCACTTCTCATCCAGCTCCCTGCTACTATGCCTGGGAAAGCAACAGCAGATCACCCAAAAACTCACGGCACATTTTCTTAGAAAGTTGGAGGAGAAAAAAAAAATTGGGCAGATCCCGCTCTGTGCACACACACTCAGCTGATGCAAGAGAGACACCCACAGCAAGGAGACAGGAACGGAGGCGTCGGCAGGCGGCCGTGCTCCCAGCGAGGGCGGGGTGGGGACTGCGCGAGGAACAGCTGCCCCCGCAGTGCTGCCCCACCCGCACCAGCTCCTTGAGCTCAAACCGGCTGCCACAGGCTCGCATCACAGTCGCTGTGTCACTTGTGTTCTTAGCACGTCCTTCCCAGATGAGTGACCCCCCAAAATCCTAATGAATCTGGGGACCCAGGGAGGTTCCTGCAGAACAGTTGAGGTCTTGTGTTCACTTACGATTCCCCCAAAAAACTAAGAGAACCTCCCAATCTCTCCCTGCCCCTTCATGGCTATTGTGGTCTCTCTGGAGAGCTTTCTCCCTCTGCTGCACGGTACCTCTTGGCAGTCTATTTTGCCATTCTCCCCAGTTAGAGCTGGAAAGCAAGGAAAAGGCTGAGAGATCCTCTGTTACCCCAAGAAGCTCACTGGCAAAAGGGCACTAAGAGAGACCCAGCACAGTAGCCTAGTAGCAAAAGTCCTTGCCTTGCATGCACCAGGATCCCATATGGGTGCTACTTCATGGGCCTGCTTCCCATCCAGCTCCCTGCTTGTGGCCTGGGAAAGCAGTAGAGGACGGCCCAAAGCCTTGGGACCCTGCACCTTACGTGGGAGACCTGGAGGAAGTTCCTGGCTCCTGGCTTAGGATCAGCTCAGTTTCGGCTGTTGCAGCCACTCGGGGAGTGATTCAGTGGATGGAAGATCTTCCTCTCTGTCTCGCCTCCTCTCTGTAAATCTGACTTTACAATAAAATAAAACCTTTTTTTTTTTTTTGTTAAAAAAAAAGGCACTAACATTATTTGGGGGCAAAAAAAGAATAAAATAAAATCCATGCATGGATTTTTTTTTACTAATTTGCATTTTCTCATGAACTTTTTAAAAGATCTTTCTGATCTGCTGGGAATATCTATAACTTCGTAACGAACAGCACCTGTGACCCACCTGCAGCGCCATCGCCTGCGCTGTGCCCAGTGCCAGGTGCCAGGGGTCTCCAAGTCAGAGCAGAACCACCCTTCAAGACCTCCAAGCTCATAGGCTGACATCCAAGAAAGACAGATGCGACGTTTTCCTCCGCTGCCTTGGAAACCACGTAGCATCTCTCGGACTGGCCCAGCCTCGCTGCAGCAGGGGACACGAGCAAGCGTCTGCTCCGTGCAGCCTCCCCATGTCTCCGCAGACCTCTCGGGTCCAGGTGACTGAATCAGACACACGAGACACTGCACAGCGGCGCGATCTTCAAGTACCAGGGCACTTCAAAAAAAGTTAATGGGAAAGCAGCAGAGGTCTATGCTGGTGCCAAGACATTTCAAAATAAAGGCAGTTTTTTCTACAACAGGCGTTCTCCGCAAACTTTTCAGAGCGCTCGGAGACACGGTATGAAGAGTCTCTTTTGCGGTGCCTGCAGCTTGCTGTTACCTCGCGAGGTTTTGAAAGGGCAAAACACAAGAGCACATTAAGGGTGCTCTGCCAGCCAGGGGCTCTCCGAGAGCAAGTTTCCCCAAGGGTGGGCAGTGTCATGATCAGGTGGCAGCTTACAACTCTCCCACATACACAAGCATTCGGCGCATTCATAAAGAACATAATCACGGGTCCAAATTACCAGCCACACTCAGCTCCCCAAGACCCAGCGACTGAACCCTCCATGGCACACACTTGTGGCTCCTGCAACAACTAACTTGGAAAGCCAAGCATGCCTTGCCCTGCCCCATCCAGGGCTTGCCAATGCCCTTCCTCTGAAACAAGTAGCTCCAGCCCAACAGAAAACACGCACACACACACACAACAAACACACACACGCAGCCAACCCTGGTGGGGAGGAACCCCAACTCCGGGCCACCTTTCAGCCGAGCGCCCCTGGAAAGCCGCAGGCAGTGGGAGAGATCCCAGCCCCCAGGCTCCAGCCTGAGCCCCTGGGGCCCCGGGCTCTTGGCTTTGAGAGTCACTAATCATGATGGCGCAGTGTGGCGTGTGACGCCTCTGCCTTTGTCAGTTCATCCTCAGTAATTCCTCCTAACAGGAAACAGATTTCTGTGCTGCGGCAGGGCCCGGCTCCCTGACCTCTCCACTGTGCACGCGGAGGAGCTGAGTCACATTTGCCATGTTGTCTAAAGAATTAGCAGAGTCTCTTATCACACCGTCAACACATTTCAAAGCGTGGTGGCCCGTTTCCTGCTGCAGACGCAAGCAGCTGTCCTCGCTACCAGGTCCCTACAAAGCATGATCACACTTCTGAAATCCTTTTATGAGGTGGCAGGGGAGGCGACTTCCAGTGCTGGGGCCGCTGGCTCGAGGGCACGGCGCCCTTGTTCTTCAGCTCCATTTTTCGGGATCCTGGGACCACGGCACGGTGGCGAGTCGGCATCTCCAATTGCACACGACTGTGAGGGTCACCTCTGCTCAATGTCCATGTCTTGCTTTCCCCCAAAACCCACACAAGAGCATTCTCTTTTTCAGATTATCGCTTTGTAAGAGGGAGAAAAACTTAAAATGGAATCTGCACATATTAGACTGTTAAAAATAAAAACAAGCTGTCTACAACCTTTCAACTAGATAGAAACTTTTATCACATGACAACAAATTCAAGTCATAAAGAAGCCCGCACAGTGACCCATCACAGTCTCCCGGCTGAGCCCCCGCCATGGTGTTTTCACATTTATTCGCTGATCATCTGGGGGTGCTGGCAGTGGGGGTGGGGCACCCGTCAGGAGCCTCCCTGTTTACAGGGTGCCAGGCCCTTGTCAGTGCAGAGCCCCAGCACACCAAAAAACTGCACGTGTCAGCAATCACTGCAAAACCAACAGAGGGGCGGGAACGGGAGCAGAACTTGAACTCGAGCCATCCAGGAAGCACGGAGACCATGGTCCCCTCTGCTGAGTGCCCAGGCTAGGACGTGAGCTTTGAGTAGCTGGGCGGGGAGAACCGCCTCCGCAGGTACTTGAGGACGTAGAGGGGGAGACAGCTGACCAGCGTGATGACAGACACCTTCCACAGGAATGACAGCGTGGCTATGAAGTACACATCTGTAAGCAGACAGGCACAGCGGTGAGCAGAGCACCGGGTCCAGGCAGGCGCACGCCATCAGCACCCACAACAGAAAGCCTTTGCTCCATCTGGGGCCAGTGTGCTGGGGATCCGGCATCACTTCCCTCCCTCCACGCACTCTTAAAGGGACAGGCTGGGGGCAGGCGCGTGGGCACACACACGTACCCCCGTCACTCTGCCTGCTTCTGTGCCTTCCTGTCACACAGGCAAACAGTGTCAGGGTGGGACAGGGCGGGAGAGAGGGGCTGGTTAAGGGAGTTTGTGATTTTCAATCTGAATGCTGGAATCGCTCTCCCTCTAAGCCCTACTCAGCAAGCCAAGGCAGATGCCAGCTTCCCAGAAACCCTCCCTGGTTCTTGGTGTAGGCCCCAGGAAGCCTGGAACTGGAGTGGAGGCCTGGGCACCCCGTTTTTGCTGCAGAGAGTAAACCTCAGAATTTCCAGGTGCTGTTGAGATGGGCGGGGGGGCAGCTTGTGGCAGCAGCAGCCAGGGCCATGTGGCTGCAGCTGGTGCCCGCTTCCCAGACCCAAAGCAGGATCCTGTCACAGGCAACTTGAGCTTCCTGGGCAGAGCCATACCCCTATGTGCCACTCTAGCCCAAGCCTTGGAGCACAAAGTAGAAGACTGGGGACAAGTGTGAACTGCTGAAAAGTGTGATTCCACTTTGCCCTGGAATCATCCCCCACCCTGCCCAAATGCCCACAACACCTGGGGCTAGATCACACCACAGCTGGGGGCTTACAAGCCCATCTGGGTCTACCATATGGGTGGGAAGGATTCAAGCATCCCAGCCAGCGCCACCTGTTGCTTCCCAGGATGGCAACAAGCAGAAAGCAGAGAACACGTACTCGAACCAGGCACTGACAGGGGACACCATCTCAAGCAGAGGCTTAACTCTCTGAGCAACAACAGTGTCTCCTCCACGCTGACCCAGTGTATTATATATGCACTTGTACTTCAAACGTGGAAGGAGCAGGGAACAGTTACAGCCAGTGAGAACGCAGTGCCCAAACAGCAGGGTCCAGCCACCCAGCTATGCCACAGCCCTGCCCTTGAACCCCTGGGTTCCCACAGGGAGCTGGTGGGTAAGAGGTCCACCCAGAACCATGAGCAGACACTAAGCCAGGCAGTCTTCTCCCACCCCCAGTGGCCAGGTCCCCCAACCCTGCAGCCTTCTCTGCCCCTAGAAGTCAGGTCCCCAATCCTGCAGCCCTCCCCAGCTTCCAGGACCCCCAGCCTATGGCCTCCCCTGTCCCCTAGCTGCCAGATGCCCCCACCCCAAAGCCTCCCCAGCCCCCAGCAGTCAGGTCCCCTAATCTCATGGCCTCATCCTGACCACTTCCTATCTGCCAGGTCCCCAACCCCGCAACCTCCCCTTGCCCCCATCTGCCAGGTCCCCATCCCCACAGCCTCCCTTTGCCCCCATCTGCCAGATCTCCAACCCCATAGCTTCCCCTTGCCCCCATCTGCCAGGTCCCCAACCCCACAGTCTCCCCTTGCCCCCATCTGCCAGGTCCCCATCCCCACAGCCTCCCTTTGCCCCCATCTGCCAGATCTCCAACCCCATAGCTTCCCCTTGCCCCCATCTGCCAGGTCCCCAACCCCACAGTCTCCCCTTGCCCCCATCTGCCAGGTCCCCATCCCCACAGCCTCCCTTTGCCCCCATCTGCCAGGTCCCCAACCCCACAGCCTCCCCTTGCCCCCATCTGCCAGATCTCCAACCCCATAGCTTCCCCTTGCCCCCATCTGCCAGGTCCCCAACCCCACAGCCTCCCCTTACCCCCATCTGCCAGGTCCCCAACCCCACAGCCTCCCCTTGCCCCCATCTGCCAGATTCCCCCACGCCATGACCTACCCTGGCCCTAGCTACCAGATATTTCCACCCCATGATCTCCCCTGCCCCCAGCTGTCAGGCCCCCAACCAGCTGCCAGGGCCCTCCCTGACCCCCTGGCTTCCCCCACTCCCAAGATGCCACCTCCCTCCATCCCCAGCTTAAAGCAGAATTAGAACTGCTCTGTGGAAGAAGAGGTGGACAAAGCTTTGTTTAAGCAAAGCTGGCTGGGGCTAACGGTACAAGCAATGGTTGCAGCAACACTGCATTTGAAACGCTGATATCCCATATGGGTGCCAGTTCAAGTCTCTGCTGCTCCATTTCTGATCCAGCTCCCTGCTATTGCACCTGGGAAATCAGCAGATGGCTCAAGTGCTTGGGGTCCCTGCCATCCATGTGGGGGCCCAGGTGGAGCCCCAGGCTCCTGGCTTCAGCCTGGGCCTGCCTTGTGACTCTGGGAAGTGAGCCAACAGATGAAACAGTTCTCTGTTACTCTGCCTTTCACATAAATCAATTAAAATCTTAAAAAAAAAAATAAAAAAGGGACTTGGGGCAGTCCAGTGCCCGGAGCTGCTGGACCAAGAGCCTGGGGGACAGCACGGAGGAGGCCCAGGCCATTGGGGCTTCCCCGTGGGGGTCTCACCGATGAACTCGTGAAGGAACACCAGGGAGGCAATGTAGCAGGCGAGGCTGAGCAGCTCGGCCACGGTCATGAGCCAGTGCCACGTCTGGATGGTGAGCGCCACCATGAGCAGCTCGGTGAGGATGAGCGACGTGAAGGAGATGGCCACAATATGCACGAACTCCGACTCGAAGAGCAGCAGCGCCCCGTACATGATGGTGCTCCCTGCCAAGGCCAGAGGAAGGTGACGCGTGGCCCCAGCTGCCCACCCACCCACGGGTCGCCACCCGCCGCTGCCTCTATCAGCATTCAGACACAAAACCCATCACTCATTACAGGCGAGCGGCACCTTGTGGCACCTGGGGATTTCCTTTTGACCTTGTGGAAGAACTAGACTAGGAAGGTCAAGCAGGCAGAGGGTATGAGTGGGGAAAGCCATGTGTCAACATCATTGACAAAGGGCCCCAGTCGGCTCCCCGCCACCTCCAGGACCTCTCAGAAGCAAACTCCTGAAGGTGCCACAGGCAGCCAGGGTGCAAGGTAAAAAGCCCCAGGGAAGGTAACTCCCCAGGGCTGCCCACATGTGTCACGGTCACCAGGGTGACCAGAGAGGAACAAATGGAGCCTCAGCGGCTACAACCTGACAATGCAGAGAATGGCTCAGCAGGGCCAGGGGCACGGCAGCCCTGGGACGCTCCCCGGCGGGCCCTCTCAGAGCGGCAGCTGCCTTTCATAAGCAGGGTTGAAGATGGAGGTGGCGCTGGTTATTACCAATTCCAAGCAGGGGCTGCATATTTTTAAGCCAGATGCCTGTAACACACTCTGATGGACTTCTCAGAAACATTCAGAAGAAGAATTCCTGATAACACTTTGCTGCCAATAAACGTGATGTTCTTTAAACACTGCGCAGCCACCGCCTCGCACACACAGGCTTGCAGTGAGCTGACACCTTATCTCCCACGCCTGTGCCCTGACCGCAACCCAGCCTGGGAGGTCAGGTGAGCAGCGTCCATGCTGGACTCAGTTCTCAGGGCAGGGATGCCTGACCTCTGTCAGCCACGCTTGTCCTTGGACCCCATGACCTCGCTGAGCAGACAGCACCTGCACACACCCGCCTCTCCCTGTTCCCCATGAGTGCTGTCGGCCAGGCGGCCCGGCTTCCATGGGACACAGCGTCCCCTCCCTGACGCTCACGTTCTCTGGGGGAAAGGGACTCCAGGGGCCCACGCTAGAGACAAGCTGGCCGATGGCTCCGCCCCTCCTTACCTTGGTAGATGCTGATTAAAACCCATATTAAGAAAGTCTTGTAGGACAACGGCCGCCCCTGAATGAGAGAGAGATCAGAGTGAGTCCCGCTCCTGCCCCGTTCCCGGCCCTGTCGACCCCATGTGGCTCTCATCCCCAGTGGCTCCCACGGGCGACTGCTGCAGAAATCTGTTTTTTTAAGCAAAATGATATTAGATGGGAGTAACAAGACAAAGGACATTACAGAGACATGTTCACCACACATGCTGTCAGAAGTGAGTACAAGACATCCAGGAGGGGCTCGAGGGACTGTGACACGGAACTCGCCAGGGCTTTGGAGAAGCTGTCCCCTGGCTCTTTCCCACTTACGTGACTGCAGCGTTTGCCACTCTAGATGTACATTTACTGCAGTTTTAACATAAAATACGGAGCCCTGTGTTGTGGAGCAGTATGTTAAGTCACTGCTCGAGATGCTGGCATCCCCTGTAGGTGCTGGTTCCTTTTTGGATGCTTTATTTCCAATCCAGACCCTGACACTGAACCTGGGAGAGCAGCAGAGGATGGCCCAAGCGCTTGGGTCCCTCCATCCATGTGGGAGACCTGGAAGAAGCTCCTGATTTTGGCCCAGTCCTGGCCACTGTGGCTATTTGGGAAGTAAACCAGCAAACAAAACATCTCTCTTTTTTCAAATACACAAATCTTTCGAATGAAAAAAATATATATTAAAAAAACACCCCCACCCCTTCCCCATACAGTATAAAGCCAGCAGCTGCAGTTTATTCACATCAGACACAAGCAGAGAGGATGGGGGCAGCGACAGCAGTGAATCCCACCTTGAGGAGGTCCTTGTAGAGTTCGGGGTAGAGCATGGCAACTTCAGACTTGACATCTTTGTCCAGGACCAGGGAGAACACGGGAAACATAGTGTAGATGGTGGAGTACCTGGGGTACGGAGATTGCCAGGGGTCAGAGCCACCCAGGGCTCTGGAATCCAGTGCCCACCACACCCCTCCTCCCACCTGTCTGCTAAGTGCTTCTCCTGGGCCAGGGCTGGCTGCCTGGCCTGGAGCCTCAGGGGAAAAAACTGGGTGACCACACTTGCCTCAGAATCTTGTGTGCCAAGTGTGAGTAGTTCCCCAGAAAACTGAGTACCCTTGACAGCACTGCCAGCAATGCCAAGGAGACCCCACAGGCAGTACGGGTGGCCAAGGAGAAGGTGTTCCAGTGAGTACCCGCAGGTGGGGAGGGCCAATCACGGCAACACCCGGAGGAGGGGGCACAGCCCGGCGATGGCTGGAGGCTGGAGTGGGGCTGTCGAGTCCGATAGTGATGAGGCTAGAGTGGCTGAGGATGAGGTCCACAGTTACAGGGAATGCTTAACTATATCCTGGTATGTTCTCCCCTCGGCAAGGCCCCAACAAAGGCAGCGCAGCCATGCTTCCCAGTACCCACAGCAGGACAGCGCACAGGGCTCAGCAGCGACCAAGAGGACGCCTTCAGACCCCTTGTCCTTTCCTAAAGACCCTGGTGGTGTTTATGAATCTCCTCGCTTGCTGTTGTGGTCTCGCTGGGGCAGGTAAGGGTGGAGACCACACGTGTGAGCCTTCTCCTCCTGCCCAGCTGGGGGTGCGGCAGCACTGTACCACTGGGCCTGGCCTGCCCTGGGCCCCCACGCGGGGTCCCTGCTCTCTTGGGTGGCACTCACCAGAGGTTCTGTAAAACATCTCTCTCTGGCCGGGCTCTCCTTACCCGATGATGAGGAATCCTTGGTAGAGAGGAACAGAGGCGAAGTAAAACACGGAGGAGAAGACGGCCTGCACCAAGGGGAGAGAGAGGGTGTCAGTGGGGGCCGTGATGGTGACAGTGGCTGGCACTCTCACGCCAGTCCTTCCCACAGCACCCCCGGGAAGGCAGCTGTGGCCACCACACCCACTACACAGCCGAGGATCCTGAGGCGGCACTGTGAGGGGTTGTATCCTGGCCAAGAACGCACAGCAGCCAGGTGACAGAGCCAGGAGTCCCCCCAGCCTGATCCACCTCCAGCGTCCACACTCAGCCCCTTTCCACCCCCTCCCGGGGACACTGAGCTCCACAGGACCATCCTAAGCCCAGCGGGGACCCAAGTAGACAATCAGGGACAGCCTGAGGACCAGACATGGCATCCTGGGCACCTGTGGTGGGAGGGGAGGGCTGAGGCCAGGAGAAGCCTGCAGAACACAGGAGCTGCCCAGCCCATGAGCATCACCGGCCAGGGAACGCCGCCTCCCCCGTCAGTGACGGGAGTCACAGGCAGGCTGCCCGCTCATGTGCTTCCGTGTTTCTGCCTAAGCCCCCGGGAGTCCCCTTCCTCTACAAGGCCTGTGCTGGCTTGGCAGTAAGGCCTTCATCCTTGCCTTGCCAGAGCACCCGGGTACAGGGAGTGTGGGAACAGCGGGTTAGGCTGCACCGCTAATGCACATCCCATTTTCAAGTCCCCACTCCTCTGCTTCCCATCCAGCTCCCTGCTGACACGTCCTGGGAGGTGGCAGATGATGGCACAGGTGCCATAGATGGAAGGTGGCTTTTTCTCTGTCGTTCTCCCAAGAACATAAATATCTAGAAAAGGCTTCCCACTAAGAAAAAAAGCACTTGGAGGAAATAAGAACACTGAGTCCACATCTACCTAGGTCCAGGGCACTAGTTCTCCCACAGCCCCTTCTGGCACAGCAGATAGGGGAGACGGTTGGTCCCCAGCAAACAAACAGAGTCTGCCCAGAGGGCTTCCTGGAGTCGGCACCAACGGGAGTGTCATCTGGCACTATAGAAGCCAGCTCTCGCCAGCCTTCCTTTTGTTTATGTGCCCAGGATGGGTGGATCATCTCCTGTGATTAAAGCCATGGCATTGCCCAGTTCAACTGATGAATTAGCATAAATTAAAAGTACAGATGCAGGCTGAGGAACCACACCAGCTGTTTGGTTTTGGCTGATTTTGATGAAAATCACTGAAAGATTCCTCTACACACAAACACAATAGATCCCTCACCATCAAACTGCCGCAGGGGGCCTGGAGGAAGCCTGCGTGGGGCAGGTCTGTGTAATGCCATCCAGCTCACTGCGCTGGGCAGACGGCATTTCTCATGAGATTCAACGCTGTTCCCAGAAGTAAAACACTGCCACATTTTTATGCTTGTCCTGGGCAACTTCCATTAATCCTGGGGAGGATGCTTTAAGCACAGATGTCTCAGAAAAATGCTGGTTTTGAAGTTATGGCTGAGCACAAGGTGACACATATCACCATACTGGAGGTAGAAACACTGAGACCTAGAGTGGTCAAGCGACCTGCTCCGGTAAGGAGATGTGGGTTCCAGGACGCACCTCGGCCGAGTGCTTACCCCTTGACGGGGGCTGCTGGCACCCCGGGGGCACGGGGATGGGAATGGGCAGTAGCCTTTTCAGCAGCCAGTATGTCTCTTGACCCGCCTCTGGCCGCCTTGCTAACACACATTGAACCGCTACAACCTGATGACCAAGAAGAGGGAACGTGGCAAAACCCTTCACTCACTCTAGACTCCCTTGGTGAACAACCACGATGGTGCCAAGATGCTGCCTACTTCCCAGGGTACTAACAGTCTCAATGACCAAGGCCAACTCTGCAGGGGCCGATGGCTGACCCAGGCCTTGGACTGTACATGGTGCATGGTGCAAGTTATGGTGGCCTCAGTAGGCAACCCCCTGCAGGAGGGGATGCTGGCCTGGTTGGGGTCCACCTGCCCAACAGACCAGGGGACACTACACAGACTCTCCCTAACACAGCCTCAGCCTCTGCATCTGTAAAATGGGCTCAGGCTACCGTCAGGATTGTGGGGACACTGAGGCCAAGGCCTAGGGAAAATACTCTCACGCTGTGGTTTTTTCTGTTGGCCTCTGCCTGTGTGTTCGTGAGAACCAGTGCTGCGGTATTTCCCGGACGCCTAACAAGCCAGTTACAACTCAGCCTCAGCCACTCTCATCCCACACTGCACCCACTCCACACTAAAGACCACTGCTGCTGCTCATGTCAACTCTACACAGACAGAGGCGGGGCTGGGCACCGAGGGGGATGCAACATGCCCAAGGGCTACCAGCTGAAAGCAAACGTCAATGTCGGCTGGGTTTCCAGGATAACCCAGAGCCCTGCACAGCTGGCAGAGGGGCCAGCTGCTCACCCACCTGCATGGTGCTGATGCACAGGCTCCTGTGAATCACGAACTGGCTGAGGGCCGCCGACCGCTTGTAGCTGTTCCGGCCATGCACCATGAGCAAGCGGCCAAGATGCTTGAACTGTGTGATGGAGAAGTCGGCCGCCAGCGAAGCCTGTTTCCCCTCCTGTAATGTGACAAAACGGGACGCCGTCAGAAGACCGAGAGGTCAGGCGGGGCCAACATGTTTCCCTTTAATTGAAAAAGTAAGACACTCTAAGATCTTTGAAGAACTTCAGCACAGAGGATCTTTGGTTTCAAGTTCTGTGCTGTTGGTGGTCCGAGCCCAAATTTGATTAAAAAGGAGGAATCTACTTAAATAAAAAACAGATAGTTATAATTTGGAGGTCAAATGAGTCTGCTATTAAGCCCTGGGGGTTCAACCATCCTATAATGTGTGTCAGAAGAATGATTCCAAATCAGAGAGATGTAACTTTCAGGCCTTCTACCAGAGAAGAGGAGAAAACAGCCCCATATAGGCCTCTGACAACACTCCACGGAATATTCCCGAACACGCAGCTCTGTGCGTTGATCCAAGCAGGGAGAAGTTCCCGGGCAGCCCCATGATGGATCCCTTCCTTGGAACAGTACACAATGGAAGGCAGTAATGAAACAGGCACACATGAGAGGACCCATAGGACAACCTGAGTGATGGCTGTGCTGGGACACAGCAGGGAGAACACAGATGCCCCATCCCGGTCCTCTTCCCGAAGCAAGAGTCAGAGTCACCTCTGCCTGGCTGGCAGCACCCATGGGACACTCTGTGACCATCCCCAAGGCTCCACAAACGCCAATGTCATGAATAACGGCTCCCACCATCCTGGTCCCAAAGGATGCAGAAATGTGTTTCACATTACAGAAGATTAAAGAGACCCGGAAACACACGCACACACACAGCCTGGGCTCTGGAGCTCTTCTCAGACTGTAAAGCCATTCTGGGGGACAACTGGGACAGTGACTACGCAGCCCACAGAATCACTGTGTGAATGCTACAGTCAGGAGGTGACACGGCTGCTTGGCTGATGTACAATGAGAGCTCCAAGCTGAAGGTTTCTTATTTCTTATTTCTTGAGTTGATCTGTGTGTATTTGAACGGCAAAGTTAGAGAGAAAGTGAGAGAGAGGTGTCTCCATCTGCTAGTTTGCTCCCCAGATGGCTGCAGTGCCTGGGGTTCAGCCAGGTGACAGGAACTTCATCCAGGTCTCCCCCATGGGTAGTAGAACCCAAGCCAGTTTCCCCTGTCTTCCAGGCACATTAGCAGGGAGCTGGGTTTGGAAGTGGAGCAGCTGGAACTTGAACGGATGTGCCTATGGGATGCTGGGGCTGCATGTGGCAGCTCCACTCACTGCCCCACGAGGCCGCCCCCTGCTGACAGGTTTAGGTCTAACACATCATCACCTTTGCAATTCACTTTCTGAAAGTGTAAATGTTAGGAACAGTAAACCCACACGAAGGGCAGGTGAACGGCCATTGCTTCACTCTACCTGTTCCTAAGGAATGTCATTTTCCAAAATCGAGAGTCGCAGGAAGGGCGAGAAGTGACGGCTGTGGGAACGTGTTACGGCACAGAGGGTTTGGCTGCCACTTGGACGCCTCCATCCTGTCCCAGCCACCCAGCTGCTTATGCAGCTTCCTACTGAAGGACCCGGGAAGGCAGAAGACGCAGTCACCAATGGCTGGGCCCCTGCCGCCGTGGAGGGAGACACACTCGGAGTTCCCGGCTCCTGGTGTTGGCCTGGCTGGACTCCAGGTGTTGGCAGGTACTCGGGGAGTGAACCAGCAAATGGAGGCTCTGTGTCCTTGAAGTGGAAACACACACTACCTTCCAACGTGAGGGATGGCTGTGCATGGACAAAGTCCAGACACACCGGAATGGAGCAAGCAGCACATCACAAGGCGGAGTGTGCTTTAAGTGGAGTGAATCATTGAAAGGAAGATATTTTTCTCTGTCTCTCCTTCTCCCTGTATATATCTGACTTTGCAATAAAAATAAATCTTTAAAAAAATAAAGTTTATACAGCAAAATGCTATATATACGCATGTGCACTCCTAACAAGTGTGCTCACACCCACAACCAATACAACACACAGACAACACCGTGGAAGAACGGCCCACATTCCTAGTTTGTGGTTGTCTTGAAGAAAGAAAGTATATACTTTATTTCTAAACTGTTTCCATTTTCTAAAGTAAGCACTTTCCCATTCTAAAAGAACAATCAGAATACTTTAGTAGAGGGAGAATTTTTAGAAGATTTATCTGTCTTATTCAAAGGCAGAGCTACAGAGAGACGAGAGGACGAGAGAGATCCTCCATCCGCTGGTTCACACCCCAGATGGCTGTAATGGCCAGTTGAGCCAATCCAGAGCCAGGAGCCAGGAGTCAGGAACTCTACCCGGGTCCCCCATGTGGGTGCAAGGACCCAAGCACCTGGGCTATCTTCTGCTTTCCCAGGCACATGAGCAGGGGACTGAACTGGGATACCAGCATGGCAGTTGGCACTTTAACACATCGTGGGCACAATGCCAGCCTCAGGGGCTGGTGGAAATGTCTTAATGGTCGGTATATAAGAGCTGCAGAGAATTCGCTGAAACTCCAGCGTGCTTCCTAACGCCTCTCCAGGGATCGAGGCAGACTTCACGGGTTAATGTCTCACCCACCCATCATGCCACTCGGCAACTTCACCAAACTGGCATCTGGCTGCGGACCAGACAGCCAGATACGGTGGGAAAGGAACAAGGAAAACATCCAAGGGTAGACACATTCATGGAGATACACGACAAAACTTGCAAGAGTAGTTCAGTGGTGCTGAGGCAGGGGGGCCTCGGTACTCCCGCATCTCATATGAGCACTGGTTCAAGTCCTGGCTCCTTCTCTTCCAATGCAGCTTGATGCTAAGGCGCCTGCCAAGGCAGTGAACATGCCTCAGATGCTTGGGCATCTGCCACATATGTGGGAGACCAGGATGGAGTTCCAGGCTCCTGGTTTATGCCCAGCACTTTCTTGACAGTTGCGGCCATTTGGAAAGTAAACAAGCAAGATGGAAGGTATGTGTGCGTGTGTGTGTGTGTGTCTCCCCCCTTCTCTCTGCCACTCAGTCTTTCAAATACATGAACAGCAACTGCACCTCCCACTGTGTCTGAGGAAGGAAGAAGCCAGGCCATGTTCTCCCACACCCCAACATCAGCGTGTCCAACATCCCCAAGCTTCCACCGACCCAGGCAACCACCACCAAGATGCTCCAAGTGCACTTGCTGTGCTCCAAGAAGACAGTCACAAGAAACGGGTTCTGGCAAGCAAATCAGCATCGTCTGCCTGTGAGCAACCTTGGGATGGGCCCTGACACCAAGTGACAGGCGACCTTGATGCACGTGGTTATTCTCCTCTGGAAGCTGCCCGCATCCCGAGGCTGGGTGGGTGGGGGACAGGCCCGTGGTGGGCGGGGCTGAGCAGGCAGAGGGGAGGAGCTCACCTTGCCTTCCACGCCCACACCGCAGTCGGACTCCTGGATCATGCTGACGTCATTGCCCCCGTCACCTGCGGGCCAGCAGAGAAGAGAGGTGGCTGTGCCACATGTCCCAGGGCACAGCGGTCCCCAGACCCTGCTCTGGCTGGGCACCTGCCGAGGGCCTGTCCCCTAGCCCAAAATGCCCAGGTAGGGCTGCCGAGCACCAGAGGCCACTCTCCAAGGGTCACTGTGCCCCAATGCCAGGTGGGCATGTTAGGTGTGACGCTGCTAGGGGACCCTCACCCCTGCTTACTTGCTCTCTCAAAGGGAAACACTAAAAACAGAAGCAGCTAAAATCTGTGGGAACGAAAAATGACCCGAGACAGCCCACCTGGGGGATTTCACGATAGGATGGGCGGCCAACACTAATTACACTTTCATAAGGAACCCCAGGTCCCTGCGGGGAGGGCCAGCAGCAAGGGCCCGGGCACTCACTCACCTGCCGCTTGGGACCACTTACCTACGGCACAGGTGAGCTTTCCGGTGCGTTCCTGCAGCAGCCGCACAATCTGGGCTTTCTGGGTGGGGGCGCAGCGGCAGCAGACCACGGCCGGGCACTGGCAGGCAAGCTCCATGAACTCATACTCATAGTACTTGAGGCAAACCTGGGGAGGGGTGGCGGGTCAGCCACAGTCCCTCCCCAGCTCAGCCCAGTCTGATATCCAACGGCCATGTGAGGCTCCCATGAGGCCCTGCACGCACCTCCAGGGAGTCCCCAGAGATGACCAGGGCACAGTCATGCTTCCGGCGGAAGGCATTCAGCTCCAGGTGGGCTTCGCCTCGGTTGGTCACCTGGAAGGGGAAGTGACGAGACGACGGCATAGTAAACAGAGGCTCTCCAGTGTGATGTCAGTGGCCACCCAGCCAAAGGCCCTGCCCTGGCCCCAGCTGTGATGATCCTGAGCAACGGGGGGACCTGGACGCCAGCCATCAGCCCACAAGCCCCGCGGGACTGACAAGCACAGGCCACCGTGTGCTGAGTGCTGGGTGCAGATCTTCCCACTGCAAGTTGCACGGGGAGGGGACTGTATTCTACATTTGAGCACTTTATTGCACTGCTTTGTCAAGAGCTTGCCATGAGGATGCCATGGTATAGCAGGCTAAGTCTCCACCTATGGCACCAGCCTCCCATACGGGTGCCTGTTCATGTCCTGGCTATTCCACTTGGGATCCAGCTCCCTGCCAATGCATCTGGGAACACAGCAAAGATGGCCCAAGTGCTTGGTTCCCTGCAGCTATGTGGGAGACAGAAGAGCGTCCCAGCTGCTGGCTTCCGCCTGGCCCAGCTCTGGCCATTGCAGCTGTCTGGGCGTGAACTAACACGTGGGAGCTCGATCTCTCTCTCTCCTTCCCTTTGTAACTGTCTTTCAATTAAAAGTTAATAAATCTTAAAATAAAGAGCTTGCCACTAGAGCAGCCAGTTTCTCACTAGCCGCCCAATCCCCCTCCTTCCAAAAGGGAGCCAGACAGGCTGCAATTTCCTTCATCTCCAGGGCCTTGGCTGCGGAAAGTCTTGTGTACTGCTTCCCATGCAAGAAGTGACCTACGAGGGCCAGGGGGCAGTAGTTCTCAAAGGGACCATGACGCTCCGAAACAGTGAGAGAACAGCACTGGCCCAGGGCCCAAGCCAGGAGCTCCCAACCACCCCAGAACATGCCTGCGCCAGCCTCACCACATGATCCCGCCCAAACTAACGCGGACCTCCATCTGTCCCACCCCAGGTGCTGTGTGCCGCCTCCTCCCAGCTCTGGGGGTCCCTGAAGGCGACGAGGCTCCAGGGTAGACACGGGCCCGTGCGTAGGTGGCTTTACCAGCCGGAAGACATGAATGTCCTGGTTTCTGGTCACCAGGTGGGCGTTCTTTGCTGTGCATGTGGCAGTCTCCAGCTTGTCCCCGGTCAGCATCCAAACCTGAAACCCAAGAGGCCCTGTGCGTTAAGTTTTAGAGGTGGGGCTGTTGCCTGCATTGGCTGCTGTGTCCCCAAGAACATGGGGGTGAGCCTGACGTGTTCCAGTCACCTCCTAGGATTCACAGGGTCTTCCCGACCCCTCAGAAAACACGGCAGGTCCTGGGATTCGGGGACCCCTAGAAGCCACTGCTGGTGGCCGGCTATGATGCTGCGACACTTTGAGAAGCAGCCCTGATCAAGCTCTGACCTGGGGGGGTTCATAACCCTCCTCCTAGGGATTCCTCTCACAGCAGCCAACAGTCTGAAAGAAGAGGACGCCCAGGGATGGAGGGGTCACGCAGCATCCCATGGGAAAACATGACAGTGACATCACAGCCTCTCTACATGACCGCATGCTCATGACAGCTGCTCCTAGGGTTAACTCTGCCCACGAGGTGTGACAGGAGCAGTGCCAGGGCCCACATGCCCTGAGCCAGGTCATGTCTCTGCCACGGGCCCAGAGAAGACAGGGGACGTGCCCAAAGCCACACAGCCCACCCTGTCCTGGCCAGGCCCCAGATCGGAGTCTGCAGAGAATGCTCATGATGGAAAAGCTCTGTGCAGACTTCAAGACATCTTACATCAAAATAAACAGCTTTAATTCTACTTTCCCACACGCTCTGTGCAGGCGCCTCAGTTCTCCTTTCATTAACTGTTCTGTTCCCACAGTTCCCAGCAGGGACGAGTCCTGAAGGCTGAACAGAGAGGGGCATCAGAGAGGCATGGCCACACCCAGCTCCAGGGACTTCCTGAAGGGCTGGATGCCCGTGCCAGGGGCGGGCCCAGGCCTTGGCAGGAGCCCCAGCCAACACTTCTCTGCGTTTCTTGAGGCTGCCTGGTGTTAGGTCGCCCCCTCCTGGCTGCTGCAGGAGTTCCCTCGTGGCCCACAGCAGTGGTGCCCAAAAGGCATTCGGGGTGGTGTGCAAAGCTTGCAGTTACTGTGAGAACAGAACTCAGCTCAACTGGGAGGCCCAGGACCGGTGTGCTTTTGGGGGGCTGCTGGTGTTGGACCTAGCATGGTCCATGCAGGATGGGGTGTAGTGCCTCCTAGATAGGCCAGGTGGCCCTGTCGGGCTCCTCTGACTGCTGCTCTACCATGAGGGTGGCGATGGCGCGGTGTGGAGCTCGTACTGCATGGTGGCCCAAACTAACAAGCGATGCCTACCTTGATGCCAGCATTCCTCAGGGTCTCCAGGGTGGGCCGCACGTCGGCTTGCAGCTGGTCCTCCACCCCGGTCAAGCACAGCAGCTCCATCTCCATCTCCAGGCTTTCGATCACCGTGGCCACCTTGAGCGAGCGGTCGTGCACACTCAGCTTGGCTTGCACATAGCGGGCCTGGGCACAGGGCGACGAGTCAGGGCTAAGGAGGGGCGCAGGTAGAACCCCAGAGGGTACGGCACACCTTGCCTCCTCCCCAGACAGGAAGAGGATCTGGGCTCAGCCCGTAGGAGGGCCCCGGGCCTCCCCCAACCATCCCTGCAGCCAATATACCCACCTGCTCTCTGTTCTTTCCAGGACCCTCATGGGCTTCCTGTATGTCCCTAACCCTCTTCCTGCCACCATGGAGGGCACAGGTCTCACTCCAAGAGCCAAAATTCAGCAGCCACTTCGGCACCTTCAGCCAACAAGTTTCCCTCACCCTGGCCTTTCTTCTCTCTGTTCCCTGCCCCCAGCATGTTAGCAAAAATCGGCAAGAAAATCCACACCCACTTATTCACAGGCACGTTCACACCCCAGGCTCTGAAACACAAGGGCAGGCGGTGGGCAGGGTGGGGAGCTAGGAGGGCTCCCCAGAAGTGGCTCCACCAAGAACAGAAGCATGGCAAGGAGACAGGCTCCGCCCAAGGTCTCCAGGGCAACAAGGTCAGGCCTGCACAAGCCCCTCCCTGGGCCCCAGCCCCTTCCCTGCATGCTAGCCAAGACCCAAAGATGACCAGGACCCTCCCCTCCGGCCCTAGAGCCCTGCACCAGTGCAAACAAGTCAGCACTGCAACCCAAGTGCCACACTTTCTGCAACTTAAAGACATCAGGGCTCCAAGGGGCGATTTGCACCACATTTTCCAGAACGTGCAGCAGCTGCCAGGAGCCATCCCAGGCCTGCAGGTGGAAATGCAAGCCAGAAGGATGAAGGTGTGGCCCTCAAAAGGATTTCTTCCTATAAGAGTGCCATGGAGACCCCTGCCTGGGGCCCCACCATCCCCTCTGAGTTCTGGCTCCACTTCAAGGCCCAGCTGCTCTACCTCCGATCCAGGCCCCTGCTAATATGCCTGGGAAGGCAGCAGAAGACGGCCCGTGTAACTGGACCCTTGCGTCCATATGGGAGACCTGGCTGGAGTTCCAAGTTCCTGGCTTCTACCAGGCCCAGCTCTGGTCATGGAGGTCATCTGGGGAAGGGAGATTTCTCTGTAACTCTGCCTTTCAAACTAAATAAATCTTTAAAAGCCAGATTTCAGACAGGTGAGGCCTAGGATGAAATTTTTAAAAAAGAAAGGAAGATAAATATAAGCAAGAGTTGTAAAGACAACGAAGAAAGTTAAATGAGATGATAGAAGGAAACGGGGGCAGGGAGGAGGGGAGTGTCAGGCAATCCAGGAAAACTTCCTGGAGGAGCTGGTGTCGCAGCTGAGACCTAACGGGAGAGAGATGCCCGCCAGCCTCTGTGCAGAACACTCCAAGCAGATGACAGCAAGTGCAGCCGCTGCGCAACAGCAGGGAAGCAGGCAGGCTTGGAAAGGCCCTCGGAAGGTGAGGGAGGAGCGGCAGGTGAGGGGACGCCGCTGGCTGGGACTGTGGAAGTGGGCAGGGCAGGCCGCGGGCAGCTTACCTCGAAGTCCTGGTACTGCTCCTCTGCCAGAGACTTCTTGGCTACCACGAGCACTCGCAGCCCTTCCCGGGCCATGTTGCCACACTGTGAGACAGACTGGGGTCAGCGGGGAGCCCCCGGGCCCCAGCTCCGAGAGCAACTGGACAAGGAGGTGGCTGCATCCCTTCTGAGGGGACAGGGAGAACAGCCAACTGGCAAGGGGTTTTCCCCTCAAGCACCCTTTCCCGAAGCGTGGGCGCTGATGGGCATCCCCCAACAGCTGCAGGAGGCTCCACTCAAACAGGAGCTGTGGTTCGGGGAAGAAGGGGGAAGGGCAAGGCTGAGCATGTGTCCCCATAAATCTCCCATCAGCAGTCATTGAGGAGTGGCTGCTTCCCCCATGCCCTTGGCAAACACCTGTCAGGGTGTGTGGCATGCACAGGGTGCCGTGCCAGGCTCAGACCCAGCCTGCTTCCTTTCTTGGTGCCCCCTGCCCAGCCCCTTGGAGGTGTGTGGGTTTGTGAACCCCCAATTGGCACTCCGGGGTCACTGAACATGAACCACATACTTCCTGCCCCATGTCTTCCACCAGGCCCAGGATGGCCTCTGCAGGCCATGCCACCAGGCCTGACCTGCTCCGGTGTCTCACTCACCTCTTCCTCCAGCCAGTCATTGTATTGCACGATGCCCGCCATGACAACATCCGCCCCCTTCATGTAAAACGTAATCTCGCCCGTCGACTCATCCTGGGGAGGGAAGCCAGAGGAGGCACTGAGAGGCCGCAGGGAGCACTTCCCCCGCTCTGAGCATCAAGTGTCCGAGGCTGACAGGCACTCACACTCTCTCACTTGGCCAAAGACAAAAAGCAAGGGACGATCGTGGGCTGGGCAAAGGTCACAACAGAGTCCAAGAAAACACTAGTTTGGAAAACTATCAAATGACGAAAAAGCAGGATCTCGGGGAGTTGGCACGTGCTTTTGCAAAACAATGCTTATCCCAGCTGCTTCGGATCCCTCTGCTGTAAGATGATTTTAAACCTAAGGGTCAGGAGCCCCAGCGACGCCAACCTGTGGGGCACCCAGAGCCAGGGAGGATGAGCAACAGAATCCGGAGGGCTGAACCTTGGCCCCACCCGCATCCAGATGCACCTGCAGCTCCGTGCTGGGGGCCATCCCTTGCCTGCCTGAGGCCTGCGCTCCGGATACCAGCAGCACCCACAAGCACCCACCAGAAACATCTCCAGACACCAGCAAACAGCCACTGTTCAGAGAACAGTCCTTTGAGAACCACAGGCCTGGGTAACTCTGGGCTCCGTGGCTACCTGAGGGCTCACCTAGAGACCAGGCCACCCAGATGCCCTGAGGCTTTGTAATGTCTCTGCGACAGCACCTACTGCCTGGCCCAGCACAAGCCCCAGCTGCATGCACTTGGATGAGTTGCTTCTCTTAACCTCAGTTTCCTCATCTGTAAAATGGGCAGACCAACAAGTCCTACCAGCTGTAGCTGAGATAATTCTCATTGAGCCCAGGGTCAGACCCCCTCACAAAGCACTCTCAGGGATGCAACACCTGCTGGAATCAGAGCTGACTTCTGCAGTCCTCGGTGATATTGGACACGGAGACCAAGTCTTAGCCCAGATTCTTAAGGCTAGAGGGGAGAGGGGCAGGTCTGGTCCCCCAGGAGACAGCCAGCACTAAAACTGGCACAGCTTGTGATTTGGCGTTGGCATGTATTAGGCAGAGGCTAGAGATGCAGGGAAACCCTTCCACAGTGGCACCACTACATACCAGGTGCCCATCTGGTCCCAAACACCAACAATGCCAAGGGTGAGCGACCAAGGCTCTGAAGATGGACGGAACAGGGCCTTGTCACTCCCCCCTGTTTTTCCTTGAGGAGGTGGGGGCAGCAGAGAGGCACGTGGAGACAGCTGGGCCAGCAGCACCTGGTCCCGCGCTCTGCAACCCCAGGAGCCCCAAGCAGTGCCTAGACAAACACTGACGGCGACTGAGGGCTCTCATTCACCTTCATGGTCATTTCCTCGTGCCCTCTAGCCCCAGGCAGGCTCGAGAACAGCGTGCCCACAGCCTCCCACACACTCCCAGGCACTCTCACTCTCCAATGAGTCCCCACTCTGCTGGCCTGGGATTCATGCCAAGGACAACCGTGGGGTCTGCACAGGAAAGCATCGGGGGCCTTTTCCCTCTCTGGTGGGACGCCATGGCGGTAGGAAGGAACGCCCCCGCCAGCTTCCTGCACCATGCAGCCGGTCTAGGCGAGCTCCACCGTCTCCACCAATGTAAACACAGGGTCCGCTATCTCCTCCTCTGAGTCACTTCCTCCCACCAAGTTCATCCCAACTTTACTTTGCTCCCATCTCATGGCCCGAATGCACTATCAGGTCACTGGGTCGGCTGTTGGTGCTGCGTTGTTCAGGAGCCACATCGTGCCCACTGTGGCCTGCGCCTGGCACCTGAGTGGAGGCCTCTTTGATACCAACAATGACGAAGCGATGATCTATCCCACCAGCCCAACTCCATCATCCACATGGGGGAGGCGAAAGGCGGCAGAATATTTCACACACAACAAAAGCACACGGGCATCCTTGGAAAGACAGGCATATAAACCCCCAAAGAAGCTGGCTGTTCCCCTGGCTTAGCTAATCTCTTACTAGCCAGAGATCCACGCAGTACACAGGCTGCCTTGTGGTGCTAGGAGGGGCTGTCAGCTACTGTGCCTGACCGCATGGGAGCAGATGGCAGGGGCTACAGTGCAATGGCTGCCAAGCCAGGCTAGGGAAGCCTCCAGCCTGAGCTGTCATCTTTTCGCATCATCTACATGTACCAATCACAATGGCTGTGTTCTTGCAATGGGGAGATGCAGGGGCGCCTGGATGGGAAGGTGGCGTGTGCTGTCTACTTCTCCTCAGAGGGCTGGTCCCAGGAACCTGGTGATGATTCAGCTCTCAAATGACCTCAGTGGAGACCACGGTTCTTGAACTTGAAAAACGCAATGGCTGGAACAAACTTGATTCCAGAGGAGATAATGACTGTCATTTCCCGGGAAACAGCCGCCCCCAGGATTGAAGCTGCTGGCCATTAGCAATAGGCTGGGCTCATGACGTGGCATGGAAGCCCTGGTTCAGGCCGGAGTGGACCATGTTGAGGGGGCAGACTCAGAAAGCACCTGTCAGCATGTGAGACAGACAAACCACTCAAGCCAGGCTGTTGCAAAGTGAGTTCCCATTGGGCCTCACTGGGCCATCCAGCTGCTGTGGCCACTTGGCAAGTGACGCAGTGGATGGAAGATCTTTCTCTCTGTATCTCCTTCTTTCTGTAAATCTGTCTTTCCAGTAAAAATTTAATAAATCTCAAAAAAAAAGACAATCCAATTACAAACCAGGCAAAGTCCTCTGAGAGCCAGTCCTCCCAGGAAAGAGCACAACAATCCTTGGACGCACCACTGTCAGTGATGGGGAAATGAAAACACAAACCCAATGACATGCCACTTCCTAACCAGGGGCCAACTACAAACCAGCGGGGAGGAACAGGCAGTGGCCAGGATGCGGGGATGCTGGCGCTGTTATGCAGGGCTGGGAGGGGGAGGCATGGAGTGGTGCAGCCATGTGCAGTGAGTGGTCTGGAGGGATCCAGGAGCAGGGGACGGACCCAGCATGGCTCATCCCTAAAGAACTACAAACAGAACCACAGATGCTATGTGCCCCTGCTCCCACAGCGCTAGTCACAGCGGCCGACCCAGGAACAAGAACCCACGGATGAAGGGACAAGTTGAACAAGGCACATATCCCAGGGGGTGCCAGTGAGCCACGAAAAGAACAGGTATGCCGATAATCCTGACACATGGCATCGTGGTAGGCATGGAACCTGGCAGTTAGGCTACTGGCTGCAATGCCCACGACTACCATCAGAGTGAGTAGGCTTGAGGCCTGGCTCCAACCCCTGGTTCTTCCCTCCTGCTCCGTAGGAGGCAGGTAGCGGGATTCCTATCTGCTATGTATGAGACCTGGTCTGAGGTCCTGGCTTGAGGTCCCAGCCCAGGCTGACGCAGGCATTTGGTGAGCGACTTGGTGGAAGGAAGTCGGCCACCATCCCTTTCTCTCACATTAGTAACAGGCGCTTGGAGCAGTGCTTAACTTGCTGTTTGGGATACCAGCTCTCCTATTGTACTAATCAGATCCCAACCTGGTCTCCAGTCCAGCTTCCTACGAAATGGGCACCATGAGGGGCAGAAGGTGCTGGCTCAAGGAGCTGCTCGGCTGCCACCCACGTGGGACACCCAGATCACGTTCCCAGCTCCTGGCTTCAGCCGTGCTATGGGGACATCTAAGCAATGAACTAGCAGTGGCAGGGCTTTCTCACTCTTGTCCCTCTTTGGCCCCAGACCCGCTTTTCAAATAGTTTCATTAAAATTCAAAACATAATTCCTACAATGAAAGAAAACGTGCTGAGAGAAAGAAGCTAGCACCAGAAGGCAGTGCAGTGCAGGCTTCCACTCACACGGCACAGCCAGAGCGGCTGAATGCAGACACACACGAAGTAGGCTGGACAGAGGGGTGGCGGAGTGGCTGCTGGGGGTGCAGGGCTTCTCCCCGGGCAACGGCCGTGCCCTGAATCCTGCCAGGTGGCTGCACAGCACAGTGAATGCATGACTCCTCGGGACTGTCAGCTGTCACTACATGACCTCTACCTCAGTAACACACAGAGATGCTGAATGGAACAACAGAGGAGGAGGGACATGTCACCAAAAACGGCCAATTCATCACTGTTACAACATTCACCCCAAAATCGGGCTCATGGGAACAGCCTGGTCACCTGGGACCTGCTTAACTGACACGCAAATTTCCTTTTGGCTGGGGGCATTACCGCCCAGTGTGAGTCTGGGCCACAGACACCATGGTAGAAGGCTGGGAAGAGGCAAGGAAGACTGGCCAACCTTCAGGGACACACCTGGTATCTGGGGTCTCCAAGCATTTCTGGGCATCACCAAGGACCACTCACCCTCACTATGATGCCCATGCGCTTGCTCTCGTAGGTGAACGGGAAGAGCTGCAGAATGGTGAAGTTCAGGATCTGGTCACCAGGGGTCCTCAGCTGCATGGAAGACTGGTCCCGGCCCACCAGGGTCAGGCCCACACTTTCGGTCCACTGCACCAGGGCCACCTAGGTGTGACACAGAATCAAAGGTCAGACATGTGGCCAAGTGTCCTGGCTTGCAGGGATGGGGAGTAGAGAGGGCAGAAGGCACATAGTACCAGACCCTGGGGACTGAGGATGGGAAGGGCTGTGAGGGCATCCCTCTGGCCCTGCAGGGCACCCACACTGGCAACTGCTCCAGGAAGCTGTAACACATCTTCTTCAGGCCCAAATCAGGCCGCACGACACAGGCCCGGCCCAGAGAGGCTGTGCGGGGCCCCCACTGGAACAATTGGTACCAAGCTCCACACCACCCAGGAAGGGGGGGGTTGTGCCCGATCTCACTTGGAGGAGGTGCTCATACTTCCAAGAGCATGCCACGGGCTGCGTTCTGAGCACAGTGAGCCTCACCTGGGCAGTGAGGAGCCCAGGGTGCTGCCAGGAGATCCGACAAGTGCCAGGGGACATTTTCCCTGTCACATCTGGGAAGCAGGCCCCACTGCATGGAGTGGACAGGGGCCAGGGACCCCACTCCACACCTGTAGCACACAGTGTAAACCACTCGGCCCCAAGGTCGACAGTGTGGAGTGGAGAGTACCACCCCACACTTGCATGCACTTTGGGGCTCAGAGACGCGAACAAGGCTGCCTGCAGCGGCAATGATGGAAAGTGGCCCAGGCAAGGCCAGGTCACCCCATGACACCCTGGCTGCCAGGAGGACCAGCTGGGTCTCAGTGGAAGCCTCTCACAGCCTCAGCCTGACTTGCTGATTGGGAGCTGAACCCATGGCATAGGGTGGCACACTCCAATCCAAGGGCCAGGCTGGGCAAGGCAGCCAGTGAGGAAGGCTGGGGCAAGAGGGAGCCCACACTCACCCCGAAAAAGGGAGGAGTCTGCAGCTTCCAGTGCCTAATGAAAAACCAGAGACCCTGACCCGCCCTTGACATCTCCTTACAGTCAAATACAGGCAATCCGTTCCCTATCAGTTAACTGATTAATGAATTTACATGATGTAAAAGCCCTGCAGTGGGGTGGGCATCGCACAGCAGCTAAGATGCCCCCCAAGTGCTCACATCCTATCTCATAGCACCAGGCTCAAGCCATCCTGACTCCACACCCAGTGACAACCCACATACATGTGCCCCTGTCCCCCACATGGAGATCCAGATGGAGTTTCTGGCACCTGGCTTCACCCTGGCCTGGTCCAGCCTTGGCTAGTGCAGGCATTTGGGGAGTGAACTGGAGCATGAAAAATCTCTCCCTCTTTGTCACTCTTTCAAATCAGTGCATGTTTTTCTATTTAAAAAGGAAAATAAATGCCCACAAAGAGCAAAATTCATCTGCAGAAAAACAGTCTGGGGTCTCTACGAAGGGGAGAGAACAGAAGTGGGCTTGAAGGCAGCTTACCTTGCCACAGAAGCAGCAAGACGGGCCCAAGGGCAGGGCCATCTTGCTTCCCCTCAGCCCAGCCCAGCGAACCACATGGACTGGCTCTCCAAGAGATGAAACCAAGACTCAACGAGGCCAGGTGGGTCTCTCAGGCCACCAGCCTCCATGGGACATGCCAATCCTCACTCACCCAGGAGTCCCTTCTTAAGGCACACAGGCCCTTGTCAAGTGGGGTGTACACGGCAGCCTGCTCCCGGAGGGTGGCACTCCATATCTCCATCAGGAAAAGGGTCTGTGGTGTCACAGGCAGAAGAAATCCCAAACACCCCCATTCCATCTCCCAGGACCCAGCAGATGTGTTTGAGATGACAGACTGCAAGGGACCCTGAAACAGGCAGATCCACCCAGATCAGCCAGGTAGGCCCGACGTGGCCTCACGGGCCCTCCAAGAGAGCCATCTGCAGCCAAGACAAGGGACAGATGAGAGGCAGAGGTCAGGCGAGATGTGAGGACCAGTGAGGTCATCAGAGAGAACAGGTAAGCTCAGAGGGAGATGAGGCCCCGGGGATGCGAGGACCAGTGAGGTCATCAGAGGAGAACAGGTCCCAGGGACGAGAGGACGGGTGCCGGCAGCGGTGAAGGGGGAGCCCAGGTATGCAGGCAGCCTGGGAGAGGAGGAGGTGGACAGGAAACACAGTCTCCCAGGGAATGTCTGGGAGTAGCCCAGATCTGTGGACACCTGATCCAATCCTCATGAGAGCCAGGTGAGACCTCTGCCCCACAAAACTAGAGGGCGGTAACTGCTTCATGCAGCCACCAGGGGCTAGTGACCCACTTGGGGAGCAGGAAGGAGGCCCTGGGGGAGATCCTGGTGGCACGCAGGCCTCCTTGTACTACAGGTCTACAACCCAAGATGTCCAAGTAGATGTAAAGAAACAAGGAACCCTTTGCTTTCTTCTTCTTCTTTTAAGATTTATTTTTAATGGAAAGGCAGATTTACAGAGAGACAGACAAAGATCTTCCATCTGCTGGTTCACTGCCCAAGTGGCCACAATGGCCAAAGCTGAGCAGACCTGAAGCCAGGAGCCAGGAGCTTCTGACTCCCACCCCAGAGCGCTCCGGGGTGGCCCTGCCGGTGACCAGCAGTAGGACTCACACTGCACAGCTGGTCAGCTGAGCCAGGCCCCATCCTCCCAGATCACAGTTACCCTCTGACCCAGGGCTTCCTCCATGTAAGAAGGAAACACACTCGACAACACATGGCTGCCATGTTCAAATGCTCGCAGGACCAGGACGTGGCCACGTGGGTGCCAGGGGTGAACAAAGATGGCATCTGAGCCCGTGCCTGTGCCAATGCTTGGCATGTCCCCATCGTACAGCGGTCTGGATTCAAGGCTTTGTTCCACTTTCCATTCCATCTCTTTGCTAACACAAATGGCAGGTGACAGTGATGGCTCAAGTACTTGGTCCCGGGGTCAACGCTGTGGTGGTGCAGCACATTAAGCTGTTCTCTGCAGCACCAGTATTCCACATGGGTGATGGCTCCAGTCCCAGCTGCTCCATTTCTGATCTAGCTCCCTGCTAAATGTGCCTGGGAAAGCTGCAGAGGACGGCCCAAGTGCTTGCTTGGACTCCTATACCCATGTGGGAGACTTGGAAGAAGCTCTGGGCTCCTGACTTGGGCCTGGCCCACCCTTGGCCACCGTGGCCATTTGGTAATTGAACCAGTGGATGGAAGCTCGCTTTCTCGCTCTCTCTCTGCGTGTGTGTGTGTGTATAGACACTACAGCCTGACGCTGTACATTTTCACTAACATGTGCATGACCTTACAGACGATCCCTCTAGAACAGAAACAGCAGTTACAGCCAGAGGGTGAGAATGACAGGTGACTTCTACCTACTTTCTAAAAACTCTACGATGCCTGTTTTTGGCAATGAGGACACTAGTACTTAAGATTTTAAAAGATCAGCCCAATGGTGTGGCCTAGCGGCTAAAGTCCTCACCTTGAACGCTCGGGATCCCATATGGGCGCCGGTCCTAATCCTGGCAGCTCCACTTCCCATCCAGCTCCCTGCTTGTGCCCTGGGAAAGTAGTAGAGGACGGCCCAATACTTTGGGACCATGCACCTGCATGGGAGACCTGGAAGAAGTTCCTGGTTCCCGGCATCGGATCAGCACAGCACCGGCCGTTGCGGTCACTTGGGGAGTGAATCATTGGATGGAAGATCTTCCTCTCTGTCTCTCCTCCTCTCTCTATATCTGACTTTTCAATAAAAATAAATAAATCTTTAAAAAAAAAGATTTTAAAAGATCAGAAAAAAATATTCTTTGTTGTTTTAATGTGAAAGAACTCATGGAAAAGCCAACTGAGGCCGAGGACGGTTTTTCTTGCTGGGAACACGGCTCCATCTCGAACCCCCGCTGGGAACAAATGCTGTAAGGGCTGTGGTCATCCCTACCACCCCACCTCCAATGACACCCAACAGCCTGCAGCAGGCAGAAAGCAACAGGCTGCGAGCTGCCAGCACCAGGGCACGAGGCAGGGACCTATCAGGGCGATTGCGTCTGTTCATTTCCCAGGGAGGGCCCAGTGCCCGCGGGCTGTAACCGATGCCTGACTAAAGACACTCCAAGGTTTCCAAAGCTAAAAGCGCACAGGAAACAAATTTAGGAAATCCTGCTTTCTGTTACAGGAAATGAATGCTACGCCAACTGGTAGGAATTACTGTGCAGCCCCAAAGTAAAATGATTATGGGTTTCTGTGTGGATTCTATAAACTGACCTGGCCCACATGACCCATGTTGTATTGATATTGAATTTCAAAGGTTCAAACCTGAACCCAGCCAATGCCGTGCACAGAGCTCCCGAGGGGGTTTGGAAACGGTGCTGCTTTTTGAGAGACAGGCCTTGAACCACGTGTGGCCTCCTGGGTGTACCCCCTAATCCTGCACACAGTGGCAGTTTTGCTATGAGTATGTCACCCCGGAATTCAGAAGGCTGATCGGGAGCACGTTCCCAGGGGCTACGTGAGCAGAGCTCTGGCGGACTTTTCCTGAGCGATACGGTAACATGTCCCACTGCACACATGGAATGACTGCAATAGAACAGCAGCAGTGAAGGCAACTCTGACCCTTAAGAAAGTTCCAGAGGAAAAACTCTCCTTCTTCATCGTGACTCACAACTCAGACCTGAATACAAGCGCCCAGCGGACAGAGAAGGCGCTACTCTGTCCTCCTCCAGGCAAAGTGGCTGGGAAGCACAAAGCATTCCCTCAAAGACTCAGGCGCCTGGACAATCTCTGCCCAGCCCTAGAGCAAATGTCCCGAAGTTTGGTAGGAGAGGGGCAGACAGGCAATAGTTAAGGGCCTCCAGGAACTCCTATCACAGCCTGCGCAGGTGCAGGCAGCCAGAGAGCAGGACACCAGCTCCTCCTGCAACTTGCTCAGCTCCTGAGTCCATCAAGTGCCCACAGGTGACCTCCTCCCAGCCCGTCACAACCAAGGCTCTGGGTCTGACATCTGTCATTCCACGGCATTGAGTTCCCGTTCCCAAGGGAGGACGAGACCTTGCAGACAAATCTGATAAGGTCGAGAGCAGAAGTGACAGCGAGCCTGAGGGGACTCAGTGACTAAAGCTCACATCCAAGTCGCCTGGCCTGTGGGGTGGCAGTGCCAGGGGCCAGCCTTTCACTCCGAAAAATCCTGGCTTGAACGTCAAGAGCTGCAGATGAGCCAGGGAGCTTCCCATAAACACCAGGCAACAGCAAGGGGCAGTCTCCCAGGTGACCAGTTCTACAACAGACAGGGAAGGGGACATCCAGGGGTCCGCTCATCTGTGGGAAGCCCCGGGTGGTGGGACCCTCAGTGTGCCGTGTCCCACGCCCTGAGCGTGGGGCCCACCAACACCCACAGAGCAGACCAGGCCCTTGAGACAGTTCATTTACCCAGAGCTACCCTCGCCTCTTCCCAAAAGGCTTAGAAACAAATAGCTGGGTGGTCGAAGGGTAAAAGATTAAAGCAAACCAAACAGCACATTGGGAAGCTCTCAGATCACGCGTACCACATACCTTTAAAACACTCAGTCATTCAACCCCCAGGATCTCCTGCCTGCCTGCTGAGAGCCATGCAGCAAGCCTGTGGTGGCCCCCACAGGTCACAGCAAGGAGGAGGAGGAGCCACTCCCCGAGGCTCAAGGGATGCTGGCTCACCTGAGCCATCTCCCTGGGGGCACGTACTACCGTCTCCATCACTGTGGGGGTCCCACCAGGCAGTCCACGCGGAAACACGGGGTGAGTGAGTGAACCTGGTCACAGCTCTGCCAGCACTCCTGGGGACAAGGATGCTTGCTGTAAAACGTTTACAGCCACTGCTGCTTTCCCACTCATTCGTGGAACCTGAGGAAGCTGATGCATGGCAGAGCAGTGGCTACGGGAAGCCAGAGAAGGGAGGGGTGGGCCGAGGGGTACGAAGCAAGAGGCAGCTTGGAGGGGCTGGTCCTAGCGGGCCCACGCCCAGGAGGGTGGCTCCGGGGAATAATATTATGTTGCATATTTCAACATAACCAGAAGAGAGGGATCTAACACCTTCATCACAAAGAAATTCCAACCATTTGAGGTGATGAATCTGTTGAAATCTTGATTTGCTCAATATACTATGGACTCATACATTAAAACATCACACTGCACCTCAGACACATGTACAAATAGTGTAGGCCAGTACCATCTGAAAAGGTATTGTTGCTAAAAATTAGGAATAACCTAACTTGCAATGATAACAGAAGATATGAAGGTCCAGTGCATGGCCCAGAAGCTAAATCCTCACTTTACATGCCCAGGATCCCAGCTGGGCATGTTAGTGTCCCAGCTGCTCTACTTCCCATCCAACTCTTTGCTTGCAGCCTGGGAGAGCAGTAGAGGATGGCCCGAAGCTTCGGGACCCTGCATCTGCGTGGGAGATCTGAAAGAAGCTCTTGGCTCCTGGCTTTGGATTGGCTCAGCTCCAACCACTGTGGCCACTTAGGGAGTGAACCAGCAGATGGAAGATTTCTGTTTCTCCTCCTCTCTAAATCTGCCTTTCCAATAAAAACAAATAAATGCTTGAAAAAAAAATAAGATGTGAGAGTATATACAAGCTGTAACTAAAGAAAGACCAGTTTTAATACTACTCCTAGAAAACTGGGAGCTAGAACAAGCTTCTGAGTGAGAAGCAGCCACGGCTTGTAACCCCAGCATCATCTGCAGACATGTCCGACTGCAGCCAAGCTGGAATCTCTGGATTCAGCCAGCTACCTTCCAGCGTGCCCAGGGAGGCAGCAGATGGTGGCCCATGTACTTGGCTTCCGGTTTTCTGGCTCCTGGCCCCAGCCTGGCTCCAGCCTGGCTGTTGTGATCATTTGGATAGCAAGCAAGCAGATGCTGTCTGAAGCATATCAGCAGGGAGCTGGATCCCAGCTGAGGCAGTCAGGGCTCCAACGAGCACCAGGCACATGATGCCAATGCTGCAAGAAGCAGCTGAACTTGCTGGGCCACAACATCTGCCCTGAATAAAAAAAAAAAAAAATTTAAAGGGAGAGAGAGACTGAGAGTCACAAGCCTTGGCCAAGAGATAGAGAAAATAGAAGTCACACACATTGCTGGCAGATGTGTACAATGATGCAGTCACCATGGAACAATCCAGCAGTCTGTCACAGGTCAAGCAGAGTCACCACGTAACCTACAGCCACACAAAGCCATGCACACCAACGTTCCCAGCAGCCTTATCCCTAACAGCCCAAAGATACCACAACCAAAGTTCACTGATGAATGGAGACACAAAGTATAGCAGCTTTAAAAAAACAACAACAAAAAAAACCCCAAAGTGTAGCAGGCTTATACAGCAGAATATTATGCAGCCACAAAAAGGAGCAGAGGGTACTGATCTACTATTACGTGGATGAATCCTAAGTGAAAGAGGCCAGCCTCACAAGGCCATGTGGACACTGCTCCTGTGCAATAGAGTTCTAGGGGGCAACTATACCAAGGCAGAAAATGCATGAGTGCTGGGGCTGGGGGCACTGGGAAGAGGGAGGAGAAAGGGCTTGGGGGAAAGTGGGACAGGGTTAACTTTCAGGTAATACTAGCATTCTACAGGTGCCTATGCTGCTGGTTGGGCACCTGTGGCTATGCCACTAAATCACTGAGCTGTTACTTGGATGGGACGAACGCCAAGGTATGTAGGCTACATCTTCAGGTTTTTACCCCTTAAAAGAAAGCATGTGGTTTCGCTCTTGCCCTGCTCTGCCACCTCTGTGAGCTGCATAACCGGCTCTGTCACTCTTCCTAACACAGAACTCTTGAACCTGTGATACTTTGTGCACACATTTGAAATGCATTAATCCTGGGCACTGTGGTGTAGTAGATTAAGCCTCAACACGTGGTGTCAGCATCCCGTGTGAGTGTCAGTTTGCATGTAGGCTGCTCCACTTCTGATCCATCTCCCTGCTGATGGCCTCGTTGGGTCCATGGCTTCCCAGGAGGCAGCACGTGGCTTCCTGCCACCCACCGTGCACCTGTCTCAGGTTACCTCGTCGGGGCTGGACGCCTGGTACACGCGGCAAGAGTCCTCGTACTGCTTCTCGGCCTCAGCCTGGTCGGTGACGCCGTTGGACTCGTACACGGGAGTCACGTTGTGGCACAGCGCGATGGCTTTCACAGCCTCGTGCACGCGGCTGCTCATGGTGCGCCGCACCTTGGTGGTGACCGCGGGGCCCTTCTGCGCCGGTGGCTCCTGGGCCTGCTGGGGGAGGAGACATGGGTGAACATGGTGCCAAGGCAGGCAGGCGGCTCTGGCAGGGGCGGGTGAACCCCAGGCAGAGCCACTGTTCGTTCACTGTTCAAGGCACGGAATTCTAGTTGACCTATGGCAACATAGAAGGAAAACAGGAATCGTTTACAAGGTTCCAATCAAGGATGGTTGAGGGGGGAGATGAGGACCAGAGGAAAAAAACTACAATTTAACGAATGAGGCCTTTCAGAAAGTAATGCGGTTGATTCTACCTGTGGATGGTGAGTCTGTCTCCCTTGGGGACATTGGGGCTCCAACCCGGGGCTGGGGGACCTCCTGCAGGGGTCCTGGAGTCTCAGAGCAGGGTTCCTGCACCCACACTGCTCCCGCTCAGCAGCAGGACTGTCCCGTCCGCTGGAGCACATTCACCCACAGCCACTAGAAGTCGGCAGTCAGCGATGTGACAAGAGACTGAAAGCATCTCTAGATGCCACCTAAGGGCCCAGGGAGGCCAGGATCACGGTGGGTTCAGAGCCACCACTTGATCAAAGGCAACCACTTCAACCAGCAATACCCCGTGAAGGGAACCACCACCAACAAGCAGCCTCGGCAGATGCTCAGAGCCAGGACCAAGCCTGGCCAAAGTCCTGCAAGAAGGTGCCCAAGGCTCCACCACAGGAGCAGCTGTAAGCATGCTCAAACTGAGCCTTCCACGCCAGCACTGGAGCCGAGAAGCAAGTGCATCCCCTGCCAGCACGCCACCGAGCCTGCCAAGGGCTGGGACCAGACTCGGTCTTCGGAACCCAATCAATGAGCACGGGAGGCGAGGAAATCCTGCCTACTCTCAGCTGGGTGGTGAACAGCTGTGTGACCTGCAGCCAGCTGCACCTGCTCTCGGAGCCGTGTGTCCCTGGAAGTGAGCGCAGTGGGTTACAGTGGGGCTTTCCAACTCAGCACTGCACCCATGCAGGCTGGGGGCAGCAGGCAGCACCCTCCTTCCTGTTTGTCACCCACCGGGCCTCCCCCAGACCTCCTTGGCAAGCAAGAGCACCACGGCCCTGGAGCACCAGACAGCACTAAGCCTCTGCGGGTGGGTAGGCCACTCAGGTGTGTGCAGGAGGACCCAGATGTTTTCCCACAGACACAGCACCGGCCTGCCTGGGCAGCCCCAGCTCACCTTGCTCCACCTTCCTTCCTGCTTACTCTGCTCCTTGAATGCCAGCTGCCTCAGGGCCTTACCTACATCCCTGGAACCCCATCGCCAGGTGACTGCAGGCTGGCTCACTCCTCACCATTCAGGTCTCAGGTCAAGCACCACCTCCTCAAAGGGCCTTCCTGAAGGTTCCCGGCTCACGCTGGCCCAACTCTCCATGCTTCTGGCAGCACCTCTAGAGCTGGCCTGATAACACTCTCACCCTCCAGCCGAGTGAGACCAGCATCCTTGTCCGAGTTTTTGCTCACTGTATCACCCACGCCCGGGGCAGGCCCTGGTGAACACTGACATCAGCAGAATGACCAATACCCAGGAGCCCTCACTGGACATGAGCTTTCTTTTTGGCTAACATTTCCAAGAAAGCATGGATGACCCCTTGGAGCGGGCATGGCTGCCTCCAGGTCTCAAATCACAGTTTGGACACTGGACCCCCTGCGGCGGGCTGCCACCCCACCCCACCTGACAGCACCCCGAAGCTGCTAGTGCTGATGCGTGGCTGGCGTCCACATTCCAGCTGCAGGGAACAGATGGGCTCCTTCAGGGGACCCGTGACACGTAGGTGCCCAAAATAGGGAACAGATGGGTTCTGAGAAACAACAAGATGACTTTCATTTCATTTTTTAAATTCTATTTTTAGTAGTAGCATTAGAGACCTCAGGTAATTAGACAATTACCAAATTACTCTGGTCACTGAGGGGACACCCAAGTGCTCTGACTTCCTGTTCTGTTAACCTTACTGTCAGGAGCACACGAATTTCACTTCCAGGCCAAAGGGCACTGCCTGGGAACAATAATGAGAGCCATGCCTGAGAACTCCAGTGTAAATGGATCGTTACCGGCCAAGTGCTTTTCATTACCAAGGATTTCACTCCACAATCGTAAAGAGGGCTGGGGGTCTGCAGAAAGGGCCTCTGCATGGGAGGAAGCCTAAACCTGACACACTGTAATTTACGCTTGGCAATCTGTAATTCACACTCGACAGAAATTGACGTGATGAAGCTGCAGACACATTCCTTAGCACCTGGATCCCGCTGTTGTGCCGTGGGACAGGCACTAACAAGACGTGGGATAAAGTTACTGCTGCGCCTGCCAAGGCTTGAGGCTGGTGAGGCTACGAAGCCCCTCGCGTGCATGGCCACCAAAGCCCCACAGTGCAGCTGCCGACCCAGGGCTGGGTAACAGCGCAGTAGAGGCACCTCCAGCAAGTCAGCCTGGTTTCACAAAGACCCCCCCATTGTCAGATCAGGGGTGGGGACCACCCGATCACCCATCAGAAGGCAACTGTGGAGGGTAACACTCGCAGCTGGCTTGCAGCTCCGTGTTCCCACTGGCTTTCTGATGCCCACTGTGACGGTGTCAAGGTCCCCCACTGGCGACCAGGGCCTGGGCTCAGGGCTGCGGCAGCGATGGGCCCTGGCTGCTGGCCACCTCACGTTCCCCATATGGAAGAGTTTCACATGGTGCGGTATTTAGCTCCAGCTCCTCCCCACAGGCCCTTTAACCTACACACATTTTGCCTTACTGCGAAAATACCAGGCGAAACAAAAACAGATGTGGCATCTGCTGAGGTGGGTTAGGCATTTGCTGCCCTCGGGGGGGAAAGCCCCCGCTCCCGGGGCAGATGGAGTGAAGGCCCAACCGAGCCGCATGGGAGGTCGGAAGAGGATTTTGTCACCACAGGCACGTGGATGCAGGAACAGGAGCCAAGATCTCCAGTCACAAAGGTCCTGCCCTGGGCTGGGCGGGGTCCTCTGTGCTCAGCACCCAGCCAATCAAATAGACCTGGGAGATGTAAAAAGAAAGCTTGGGTCACTTCAGCCCGGCTGCATCCCAAGAGGAACTCCCAGCTGTGCTGCAGGTAAGATCCATCCAGGCACCAAATGTGCAGGAACAAGGAACAGTGACTGCCCTGCTAACACAGTCTGCATTCCACCGTGCATGGACCTTCGCAGATACATGCACAATTCAAGAGAAAGGCTTTCTGGAACCCTAGCACCACCCACCACAAAAGCTTGAAGCTTATGATGCCTGAGCTGCCAAGGGTCACCAGCAACTACAGACACAGGACATGGAGGGACAAGCCAACAAAGCACTAGCAGTGGCCACCACCCCATACGACCAAGTCAGCACCCATCAACCCAGGCCCACTCCGGACAGGCTCTCCAAGTGTGCAATTCTGCCCCTCAGGTGCCAATGTCAGCCAAGGGGAACGGCCCTGCTGACAATCTGAGTGCGGAGTCCCAGGCAAGCTGCTAACCGTCCTGCACCACAAAGCCTGCCCCCACTCAGGTCACAGGGCAGACCAGCACCCAGAAGCCAGCTGGGAGGACCCCACCCATGGTCACCAACATTGGAAACCTGGGCCCCTTGTGGACTGTCAGCCAGCAGGCCAACTGGTGCCAACATCCTTTACAGCTGTGGTAGAGACCTCCGAACTCTGTATTCAACCAAACATGATACACCTCCACTACTGAGGTTTCTTTGGAGCTTATGAACTTTGGGACTGTGGCAAATTCCTCACTTGCCTCCCCTTAAGCCAGGCCCTCCTTCAAGACAAGTCAGAATGAGCTGTCACAGACAGCTATAAAGCAGGATGCTGCACAGCGGTACCCCAGCAGGGCTCAGGCACGCATCTCAGAATTACCAGGAAAGATGATCAAAGAGCCACACGCGTACCAGCCTGAGCAACACATACAGTAACTGCAGGAGGGCCCGGGGCACACAGGTTTAGTTTTACAACTTCACACACAGTTCTGCTGCACCACTCCAGCCAGGAAGAATTAGAGCAGGGGCTGGCACTGTGGCATAGCAAGTTAAGTCACCACCTGTGATGCCAGCATCCCATATGAGTACCAGGTCAAGTTTTGGCTGCACTGCTTTTCCAGATTCATAAGCAGGGAGCTGGACTGGAAACAGACCAAGTGACTATGCCCTTGCAACCCATGGGGGACGCTGGATGGAGTTCTGGCTTCCTTACTTAGCCTGGTCATGGTCATTGTGGCCACTTGGGAAAGAAGCCAGCCACTCTTAATAACTTTACCTTCAAAAAACGAATTACAAGACCATGATGTCTTCTTGATGAGAAGAAAAAGCATCTGGGTCTGGTGCTCCATGGCATAGCAAGTTAAGCCTCTGCCAGTGGTGCCAGCATACCACATAGGTCCCAGTTCGAGGCCCTGGCTGTCATGGCCATTTAGGGAGTGAATTAGTAGGTGGGAGATCTCTTTCTCTGTCTCTCCTCTTTTCTATGTAAATCTATCTTTCAAATAAAAATAAACAAATCATTAAAATAAATAAATAAATCCTTAAAAAAACGTTTCACAGAAGTACCGTGTGTGCCTCCGCCCAGACACACCACACCCATCGGGTGGTTTGGTGTCTTACACGCCACGTGTCATGACCAGAGCACAAGAACATGAGGTCTTTCTCTTGTAAATCACCCGTATTACTTATTTCTTTTGCAACAAAAACAGAAAGATACCAGCAGTAAAGCAGATTTTAAAAAAAATGAATAAAAATTATTTTAGCAAGATAAGGCATCTGTGTTGAGCACAAAGCATACACACAAAATATTTTCCCTGAGAAAACGTAAGCTAAACCATCCACATGCTTCTAGGAGACAGCATGGGCAGGTGCGTGGTACAGTAGGTCAAGCTGCTGGTCGGGGCAGCTGCGTCTCCCATCAGAGCACCTGGTCTCAGGGCCTGCACAGCTGTGCTTCCGGCCAGCCTCCTGCTAATGGTCAGGTGGGGCAGTGGATGCAGATTCAGAGCACCTGGTCTCAGGGCCTGCACAGCTGTGCTTCTGGCCAGCCTCCTGCTAATGGTCAGGTGGGGCAGTGGATGCAGACTCAGAGCACCTGGTCTCAGGGCCTGCACAGCTGTGCTTCCAGGCCAGCCTCCTGCTAATGGTCAGGTGGGGCAGTGGATACAGACTCAAGCCATGGGAGACTCAGAAGAAGCTCCGCATTTCTGGCTCAGCCACAGCTGTTGCAGGTGTCTGGGGAGTGGACCAGCATAGGGAATCTCTCTTTCATTCTGCCTTTCAAAGAAATAAATCAACTTATTTTTTGAAAAAGAACACTGGGCCATAGTAAGTAGGTGCTGAAATACTGAATGCTGTGCCCGTGTGTCTGCAGAAGAAACAGTTTACAAGCTTACATTCATTCAAAGCAAGTGGGGAGGGCACTGGACACAGCAGGGAAGATGCTGCTGCGAAGGTCGGCCTCCCGCATCAGACGGTCTGGATTTAGTCCAGTTCCGAGGCAGATACTGGGTGACAGCTGCAGGACTTGGGCCCCTGGCACCCGCAGGGGAGACCCAAATGGAGCTCCTGGTTGTGGCATGGCTCAGCCCCAGCTTACACAGGCATTTGGCAAATATAACGGAAATAATTTTAAAATTTAAATTTCCAATTATTTTAGCTATTACTCAGCCATAAGGGAAAAAATGTAGTCCTAACAGGTACTATGACTGGGAGAACCTTGGGTGCCCTGGGCTGAATGAGAGAGGCAGACACTGCCTGCCAGCTACGGTGTGGGGTTGTCTGATGACACATTCAGCACAGGCAAATGCAGGCAGCCTGCACACTGGAGGCAGCCCCGAGTGGGGTGAGAAACCCGGGGCACCTTGGAGCCTGAGAGCTGGGCCGATTTGGGAGTGATAAAAGCGTTCTGCCAGGGTGTTGTGAGTGCATTAAGATTGACCATCTCACACGCGAAAAGGGGGAAACTCAACTGTTTTGAATTATATGCCAATTATTTTTTAAATAGGTACTAATAAATAGGTAAGTAAATAAGTCAGCCTTGCCCCATAAAGCACTGGCTGCTTCTTGTTTACTTGGCCTTGTGTTAATAATCCGGAGCCCTCCAGCCGGAATCCCTTAGACCCACCTCCTCTCTTTATGGGGTTGCCTTTAGTTGAACAAGACCCTTAAAACCAGTCACCTGGCCACTCATAAACCTCAATCTACATGTCAACAGCCAGAGAATAAATACTCGTAGGATTCCGGCTCCTTCCGCAGGACACCTCAAGGAGCACACCTGTCACAGTGTGGGTGATCGATGAGCGAAGGTCCCCGGGTCAATTTCAAGGCAACTGTGGACGGTTTAGATTGCGCATAGATTTTGGAGGAAAAACATGAAGTGCAAACAGATGCCCTGATTTCCTTTCTTCCAGGGATTCATCATTGAAACCCTGCCTTGGGGTCCACAGAAGTGGGCGCCCACAGAATGGGCGATCTCCCCTTCAGGAGAGCTGTGAATTCCTGTTCACCTGTTAAAGGCACAGTTTTGGGCCCAAGACCCAGCACCTCTGACTCGTGCCTGAGGAGCTGGCCTGGGGTAGCCCACATCGCATCTTAACACTGTTATACAATTCCGTAGGTCACAGGAATGACCACCAAGGTCACCAGGTATCTATTGGGGGAGATGGGCATGCTCAGAGGCTGGACGGTGGAGATGATTCCACAATTCTGTAAATTCACTAAAAATCACCATGCCATACCCTTAACATAGCTGGATTCCACAGCATGAGACTTAGACCTCAATGCAACTGTTAGATAAGCACGGCAACCACCGCGCGTGCCTCCACCGACCAGCACTCACCGCAGGATGCTGCAGACATCAGGACAGGGCGACAGGGCAAAGCACACAGCTGGGGGGCAGCGGATGCTGTAAACGGGGCTCCCCCAGCCTCACGAACACCTAACCCCACCACAGCCTAGGAGGTTTAAACTTGAGACCCGAGTGGGTGGGTTTGTGAGCTTCCGCTGAGGAAGTGGCAGGAGACAAAGTTGACAGTAAGAAAAAAAAATCATTTTCTGACTTACAACCCTGTACTCAGCGTTATCAGTGCAGAACCAAAACAGGAGCCATAAAAGCTGAAATGCACAAATAGCCCAAGAATGATGGCCTCTGTAAAAACCACCCTCATGGGGAGGGGTCCATGAAGCTGTCCATATAATCATCAACTGGCAGGGAGCAGGCCCGAGAAGGGGCCTTGACCAGGATACAAACATCCTGCCCAGACAACGCCCGCCCGAGGCGGAGGGCCCAGGGCGTCTATTCCCAGCTCTGTGGGAGAGGGAGCGGCTGAGCAGCAGGTGCGGAGGGAGCTTGTAAAGACAGGGAAACTGGCTGAGAGGTCACTGAGGAAGTCAGGCCAGGCAGAGGGTTGAGCAAATGAACAAGAGTGAAGACAAAAGGCAAACAACAGGTGCACAGGCAGGAGCAGGTGCCACAGAGCAGGCACCCTGGGGTGAGCAGTAAGGAGGCTGGGGTGGCACGAACTAAGACCAGAACCTCTGGGGGAGAAGTGGGGTAGAGGATGAGGCCGTAGCGTAGGCACCATGGGCAACAGTGCCACGCAAGCAGGTGCACTGTCATCTACAACTCCCACTGGAGACCACAAACACAGAAAGCAGCATCGGCCTATCCAGGATGACAGGAATGGTGGAAGGGTCACCCAGGGAGCCACATAACTGGGTCCCATGCCCAGTCCTGGAGACACCAACAAGGACTCAGTCACCAACGAGAGGCAGGCAACGGGGACCAAGTGACACCTCCTCCCTGTGGTCATGTGCCTGGCTGAGGATGTCTCAAGAGACCGACAGCACTTCTTTAACAAGTCCACAGACTGTCCCAGGGCCCACCCATGGAGCTGGAGCGATTTCACTGTCAGCTACATTTGTGGATGATAATGTGAGACACAGCACAGTAACTATCACCCCTTCCACACTGGCCCCTGCTATCCTGGAGAGAGAACCTAGAAGCTCTGTTGCAGAAATTAAACAGACTATGGAAGGCCCCTGTAATGCTGTCCATCTTACTGAAACCAAGATCAAGTGTAACAAACAAAGGCAACATGTGGTCTCTTCCTGCAGGGCAGCTGCAAGCCACAGGGAGACACTGCTTCCACAAGACGGCTGAGAAGACCACCAGGCAGCATCGCAAGTAAGGTGCACCACTGATGAGGGATGCTCAGGCTCATAGCCAGGGTGAAGGACCAAGTCAGTATGTCCACACGCCCAAGAATAACCAACAGGACACTCCCAGCTCTTCCTGGTAGCAGCTGCTGGGCTGAGAACTTCGGCCTAAGTTTCCCCTGCTGTTCATGAGCACTTCCAGCCCCGAGGTGAGGAGACCTCAATGGTTCTGATTGAGTACGAATGGACAGCATTGTCACGGGTTTGTAGGGGGACGAGTGCGGCAGTGTTTTGAGGGCTGGGAGCTTCTTGCTGGGGGGCACCATTCTACACACAGAATGAACACTGCTGAATCATACACTTTCAGTGGGAACCACAGGGCACCAGGATTTACTACCTAAACTTAAAACATCCTGCCCAGACAATGCTGTGAGGAAACGTGAAGCACCCCCCAGAGGGTTGCACGGAGGGCTTTACCTGAGTGTACACGCTGAATATGTGACTCTGTACTTCGTCCATGGAGTCCAGGCCATACGCCACTGTTCCCAAATGCAGGCGTTTGAAAACCATCTCATTCTGGGTGAGGGTCCCTTGAAACACAAGACGCACGGCTGACGTGCAGGCAACGGTGACGTCCCCCAGCTTCCCGAGAGGTTCCTGAGTCACACGCTGGCTACAGCGCCGCTCCCACTGGAGCAGAGCTAAGCCTTTCCCAAGTAGAACTCCATTCCACTTTTTAAAGTAATGTCGTGGGTTTCCAAAGAAACACCACCAGACCCATTCCCTGGAGTGACCCAAGAGAACTGCTAATCAAGGAGCCTGCCTTATTCCACTGGCTACAAGGAAGGCGTGTGACATACAGCAGGCCAATCAAAATCTGTCTCAAAGGAACTTAAACTTTAAACAGAAAAAAAATACAAGGAGGGAAGAGGAGTGGTGTCCAGACACCCCAGGGCAGAGCTCCAGAAATCTCCAGGGGTCCTCGGTGCCAGAACTTTCTTCTCCTCCCTCCCTGACAGCTTCCCGCTGCCCAGGCTCTCTCAGTGGTGGAGCAGAAGTAGCCCTAGCTCCCCCCACTTCTCACACTGGGGAGCAGTGTCAGTGTGGGGGGCTGTGAGAGCGGGACTCTCGGCCAGGCTGAGTTCAAGGCCTGCTTTGGGCAGTAAGCAACTGTGACAGGTCACATCACCTTTGTGTCTCAGGTCCTAACTAACTCACAGGGCTGGGATGCAAACTGGCTCCCTAAACAGTAACAGGCTATGCATGGTCAGTGCAATGCAGGGGATCGCCGTTGCCCTCATCATCACCTTCATCCTCCACTGAAAGACCCAGGCTCCAGAAGGGACCCAGGAACCCATGCCTGTCCACTCTCCTGCAATCCTGGGTGGCCCTGGGAGAGAGGCAGCTCACCTGTCTTGTCGGTGAGCAGGTACGAAATCCTGCCCAGCTGCTCGGGAATCGTGCTGGAACGCACCACTGTGCCGGGGATTTTGGAATCCCTGCGGATAACCCAACTGTACACGATCTTGCCCATGTCCAGGTTCACACGCAAACTGGTCAGAAGAGAAGAGACACATGTGAGCGGGGGGGCACAGACAGGACCCCTGGTCCTTCACACACACATTCTCTCTCTCTCTCTCCTCCCCACCAGGCACACCTGTGCTGTAGCACACAGAGCTGCTCACGACACACACCATCTGCTGGGACTGAATTATCGGATTTAGCCTTACTCCACACCCCCGTCAAATAATGTACTGAGCCAATTGCTGCATCCTCAAGCTATTCCATTACAAAGTGAAGACTTTCAAAACACAGAAAAGGTAGCTGTTTGAATCTTAATTAAAAAAAAAAAAACAAACCTGTTAACTGGTTCCCTAAGCTTATCTATTTCTGCTCTTATGGTCATTCCTTCAAGTGTGTAGGCAGGTACACAACACAACAGTCATCACTCTCATCGTGTTACGTGCCCATATGAGAATGCTCATCTGTGGTGGCAAGTGATCATTTAAAAAGAGTGACCGGGAGAAGGGGAGAGGGGTTCTGGATGCTTCCATCATTCCACACTGGGACTGGCTCCTTCTAAGAGCCGGCACGTTCTCTGAGTGCAGGTGTCATGCGCACGAGCCTGCACCCTGCTCACCTGATGGGGATGATGTTGGAAAACAAGAGGAGGAACCGGATGATCTGCAGGTACCAGCGGCCGGCGAAGTGCTGCAGGGCGACCATGACCAGCGAGACCACCACCAGCGCGCCAAAGAGGATCTTGGTGAGGCAATTCACCTCCAGGTCAAACAGGCCAATCTTCAACAAGAGAAAAACAAACAGGGAACAGGCTAACACCAAGACGGCAAACAGACAACATCATAGTTTGCAATCAACACGCAAAAGTCTTCCTTCCAGCTACTCGGAACTGCACAGCACATCGCTGCAATCACAGCCCCCTGCAACACCAGGCCTACTTCTCCTCTCTCCCTGTGACACCGGCCCTGGACCCACTCTTTCCCCTCAACCCCATTGCAAATGTTGTTCTTTCGGTTTTTAAATCTAGCCCCCCTCCCACCCACACCAATCACTGACATGCCTGGGCTGCACCTGCCCAGGAGCTCCCACGCACCTTACTCCGGGGGTTGGAGGTGTTCATGACACTCCGCAGCTCTCTGCCAGTGTACAGAACCACGCCCACCACGGTGCCTGGAATGAGAGCACACAAACCAAGGCGATAGGAACAGATGCATGGCTTGACACACAGCTGCAGATCCCAAGTCCAGCAGCCATACCACGAGGATGGCAGAAATTGTGCTGGGACCACAGCCTGGCTCAACTGGTTAATCCTCCACATGCTGGCATTCTCATATGGGCACCAGTTTGATTCCCAGATGCTCCACTTCTGACCCAGCTCCCTGCTGACGCACCTGAGAAAGCAGTGGAAGACACAGTCCCAGCTCTTGGGCCTCTGCTTACCACATGAGAAACCCGGATGGAGTTCCAGGCTCCTGACTGCAATCAGGCCCAATCCTAATCATTGTGGCCATTTGAGTAATGAACCAGTGGATGGAAGACAGCTCTCTCTGTCTCTCCCTCTGCATAACTCCACCTCTGGATTCAATCAATCTTTTAAAAACAAAGGGTGTTGGGGCCGGCATTGGCATAGTGGGTGGGCCGCTGCTCACAATGCCAGCAACCCACGTGGATGCCAGTTCACATCCTGGCTGCTTTGCTTCCACTCCAGCTCCCTGATAATGTGCTTCGGGAAAGCAGCGGAGGACAGCCCAAGTGCCTGGGCCTTTGGGAGATCCAGAGGAAGCTCCTTACTCCTGACTTCGGCCTGGCCCAGCTCTGGTCATTGCAGTCATTTGGGAGAATGAACCAGTGATGAAAAGGCAGATCTTCTTCTTCTAACTCTGCCTTTCATATAAATTTTTTTTTTCAAACAGAGGGAGGGTGGGCATAGCAGACCTTGCCAACAGGACAACTAACTCTTCTCCTTCCCGCTTCCCAGACATTCAAGCACAGCAGAGGAGTCCAGACGGGGGAAAACACACTTCTTACAGACACACTACCTGTGTCATCCCAACTTCTCCCATCCCTGGGATTGAAACTTGCCTCCAAACTCCTCCTCCCTGGGAAGACCCTACCCAGGCCCTGGCAAGCTGCTTAACCTTAATGTGAAGACAATGTCTGGGTCCCGAGCAGCTTCACACTCCCTCCTGTTTCTAGAGCAAAGTGCCTGGGTTTACATCCCAGCTCTTCCATGCACTGTGTGACTGTGGGCAAGCTGCTCCTTCTCGCTGTGCCTTGGCAGCCTCCCCTGCCTCAGGCCACACACCTGTAGCACCGTTACGAAGGCGACAGGCACACAGCACACGGGCTGGGCTTAGCACACACAGCAGCTGCTGCAGCCCCATGTCAGCCCAGCACTGAACCTTGAAGCAGCAGCTTTGGCCTTGTCTGAGCGTTGGATACGGTCTCCATCTCCAGACCCTCCCCAGCAGCAGCACCCCCCGGTGGCCGTCCAAACACACCAGGGTCTGGGGCAGATTAGCACGGCCACCATCCGCTCTCCTCCAGAGCCAAGGGACATGTTGGTTTAAATCCCCCGAGGGGCCGGAAGGAGGGGAAAAGACCTTCAGACAGACCACTAATTGTCCCAAGTGACGGATGATTGTCATAATTACAGAGGAACGCCTTTCCCTGGGCAAATCGCTAACACATTCTGTGCCTGGCAGCTCACCTGATGCCACCACAGTGCCAGCCCACAGCGTGTTCTCGATGCCCAGGCTCTCGCTGACGGGAGGGTCGCTGTCTTCCTGGAAGAGACCAGACAGGCACAGGTGCACCTACAGCCATTCCCTCGGAGTCCCACAGGTACAAGTTCCAGGACTCCCAGAGGCTACCAAAACCTAGGCTGCCTCAGTCCCTGAAGGGGGCAGCATTGGCACAGAACCAACACACCTGCTGCGGACTTTAACCCATTCCTAGGTGACTGCTCACACCGACTGCCCTAGAAGCAGTTGTTACCACTGCATCAGTTAGGAAAGGATGATGAGAAGGCCACACAGGTTCAAGACAGATGTCGCGTCCTAAGATGATTCTCCATGCAGCTGGCTGACTCCTTGGAGACACACTTGTGGATATGGGGCCTGACTGTCCTGCCATTTGGGCTGTTTCTAGCTTGATGAGATCGGGCGTCAGGTCTGGAAATGTACTGTTGAGTCACACACACTATAGATGCTTAGGGAGGTGGCTTGGGGCTTAACAAGAGCAGGTGGCTAACATCAGGGAAACACTTCATGGGTGAGAGCTAAAACGCAGAAGCAACAAGCAGACTGCTGGCTGGTCCTGGAGTTTGCAGAGAGCCAGCAGGAACAGTCTGATTGGAGTTCTGCAAATCTACAGTCCCAGCGGCCTGAAAGCTTTTACATCCAAAGGTAAGGGCCATGCTGGAAGGTGGGGAGCCTTGCCCCATCTGGCCATGTCCCCAGGGACCCTCCTTGCAACCACAGGGCGAACCCACTTACCCGGGTAAATGTCCCCACGAAGTGATGAATGTCGATGTTGGGCTCCTCTGCATACACATACGACCGGACCTGCAGCAGGTCCTGTCCCACGCAGATGGTGCATTGGAGATAAAAAAAAAATCAAATAGGATTCAAGATCCCAACAGGCAGTCTCTGTTGAGTCATGAAAAGCAACCAAGCTGTAACTGCATGTCACAGGTTTCCTGGGCTTTGTATGAATTCTGACCCATTATCCATTGTTTTAACTCTGGAACACAAAAGGCTGCAGACCAGCCATCTCGGGAAAGGGCAGGATGAAGTGTGGAAGCAGGAGTATTGGCCATACCCAGTCAGCAGGCTCTCAAAATTACCCAGCAGGCAGCCGGGGAGAAGCCTCCATTCAGTGAGTTTGGGAGTTGCTACAATGGCCCAAGACACTCTGGGAGGCCGAAAGAAAGGCACCTGCTCATCTGTGTGCACCCAGCGTTCTCCAACCTGACCCCTAGCAACACAACAGCCAAGCAGCCCCTCGCATGGGCTTTGCTGAGCTCTGGCAGAGATGTCTAAGCTGCCCCGGGTAAATAACACGCTCCCTTAGCTTTGGGAGGTGCTGAAAAGGGAATGCAAACCCCAACACCTATAAAGACGGCTACTATAAAAACACTACGGGCTGGTGTTGTGGCATGGTGACAAAGCCACCAGCTGCAATGCTCGCATTCGATATGGCCACTGACTGGTGTCCTGGCTGCTCCACTTCCGATCCAGTTCCCTGGTGGTGGCCTAGAAAAAGCCACCTGCTGGTCAAAGAGGAGGCTTAGGGCCCGGCGTGGTGATGCAAGTGGTTAAGGTCCTCGCCTTGCACGCCCGGGATCCCATAGGAGCCAGGAGGTAGGCACCACAAACATAGATGACTTTGCACTACGGTCTGTGTACTGACAAGGAAAGTCATGTTAAGCCCGGAGCAGACAAGCTTAGAACAAGCACACTCTGATTCCACATATGTAAGATCACCACTCACAGCCCCGTCTACAGCTACACCTCTGTTGAGAGAACATCTGGAAGGACCACAGCCTCCTTTGCATCATGCCCTCTGGGAAGACGATAAGATCTGGGCAAGAGCTGTGAGCGACATTTAACTCTTTCAAAGCCTTCTACATGTTTGATGTTTTTTTAAAAAATATTGAGTTTCCTGATTTGAAAGGCAGCCAGAGAAAGATTCTTCCATCTGCTAGTTCACTCATTCAATACTCACAGGAATGATCCCAACAAAACGCCCAGGCCAGGAATCCCATCTGTGTCTTCCACCCGAGCGGCAACAGCCCAAGCACTTCAGCAAGGCTTCCGTTGCCCACCAGGGGCACTAGCAGCAAGCTGGATCCTAGCCACTGGAGGGATCACCTGCTGGTTTCTAGGGCATGTATTTGCAGCAAGCTGGGATTGGGAGCAGAGCCAGGACGTAAACCCAGGACATGTGGCAGATCTAATTTGATCTGATTGTAAATACAGGTGTTCAGGAGCTGGCTGAACCACTACACCCAAAGTCCATCCTTAATCTCTTTACCTTGCCTACTATATATCCATTACTTTACTCAGGTAATCTCTTCATATAAATACTTTAAACTCTGGTTACAACATGGCTCCCTACCCCGACCTCACAGGCCCACTAAGGCTAACTGTAAAGACAATGGCAGCTTATGTTCCACTGAGTCCCAGCACGGGCCTGGAGCAGACAGGGAGCGAAGGCAGAGGCTTCCAAAGTAGTAAGAAGCCCAGCTCCAAGCTGTGCAGAAAGCCCTCACGTCCAGGCTCTTCTAGACTGCAGAATGCAGCCCTGCAAGTCACCTGCAGGATCAGAGAGCTTTCTTTGAAGGTCTCTTTGGAAGATGCAGAATACATCCCCCAGATGAGATCAGCGTCTGTGGCTGGATTGCCTCTGTGCCTCCCAAAAGCTCCTGGACTATGGTTAAAAACCTGTTGTTCTGGAATTCCCGGTTTAAAATTTAACAGGGACTACAGTGCTGTTTCACTTTTGATTGGTTATGAAAAGTGAGGAGTGAGGCAGCCGTGCTCGCTGCTGTGCTCGCTGCCATGCTAACCCCACTAAGAGTGGTTTCACTGCCTGTCCCATTCAGGCAAAGCTCAGTATGCATGGGATGCAGGCACAGCAAGTGCCTCCAGATGCCACCTAATCCTTCCAGACTCATGCAGAACAGGCCAGTCTCTGAGCACTTACGCTACCTTCGTCTGGCAGCACGGCCAGTCCTCCATCCCATCCTATGTACTGAGGGGATGGCTGAGCCCGCTTGTAGGGGATTCTGCTCTAGAGAGAAATGGGACCTCCAAGGCAGCAACTGGAAAAGGCGGCTCTGACGAGTCAAGCTGCCCAGTGAGGTCAACAGTGGGAAGAGTGGGCTCCTGGGGGAGGAACTGGCCAGGAAAACATGCAGAGGCAGAGTCACTGCTGGCCAGGGCCCAGGGAGCAAAGGATGGCGGGATGGCATGGGGCCTGGAGAAACAGAGGCAGAACACCCGCAGGAAGGGGCTGCAGGACCAACCCTGGGTAAGATAAGAAGCCACAGGAGGTGGGCCACAGAGCAAGCATGAGTTCTAGCTCATCTTGTACAAGAGTGCCAGGCACCATGTCAAGGTTAAGCTACCCTTGAACAGAGCTGGCCTCACTGCTGGTAGGGTCTGCCTTGGGCATGGCCACCTGAGTGAGAACGCTCATACTCCGCAGAGATCTGGGATCCTCTGCTGCCCCAGCAGCACCCTTCACACCCAACTCCACACTGCTGAACTAGAGAGCCTGGCCCTGGCCAGGTGCCCAGGTCTGCCGCCCGAAAGCTACTCACCGCAGCAGTGGGGAGCCTCTGTGTGCCGGCCACAGGGAGCCGCAGCTTCCAGTCTGTCTCTCCATCCAGCTGGTCTGTTCGCAAGAAGCAAGACCCTGTGGGAAGAAGTCAGGTGCCATCTGGTCACCTGCAAATCAAGAACCTCTTCCTCGGCTACACAGGGCAATTCCTGTACTGCAAAAACTGCCAGCCAACAGCTAATAACAAATCCTGCTTCCCATGAGCTTGGTGAGCTCCAGGGCAGCAAGATCTGAGTTCAAAGCCCTGCTCCACCATACATCCATGATGGTCAGGATCTCTGGCTAAGCCACAGCATGTCCTCATAAGATGTGACATAAGCAGACCTCACACACTGGCTATGAGGAGTCAGACGGTGACCTCAGGCAGACCCAGGAGAACAGCCTCAAGGTCATTCAAGTTCCTCAGCAGGAACCTGGAGGTCAGGGTTGAAGGTGCTGAGCCACCTCCTGGCTTCACGCCCGGGACAGCATCCCCTCCAGCCTCCATTTCCCAAGGGCAAAAGTGCAGGCAGCGGGGCACTAACACAGCAGGGAGGCGAGGACCTGCGGAGGGGCACTGCACAGCGCTCAGGGCCATGCCCTGCAGAAGGCACGTCGGTGCCTGCTGTACACACCTGAGCCCCAAATCCAAAACCCAAACCTCCCCTGAGCACCAAGGGGACACCACAAGTGGAAAACTAGGCAGCATAAAACTGCTCCACGCACCTAACTGCTGGGAGCAGAGCACAAAACGACCTTTCCGGCTACGGACGTAAGTGTACACAGAATGTCAACAGACTCCACATTGAGACTTGGGTCCCATCCCCAATATTCCAAGTCTGGAAAAAACACTGCTGCTCCCAGACATTTTGGATAAGGTACTCTACCTGTTCTACATCTGTAGGATGCAGTCTGACCTACAAGTCCACACAGCTAGCTACACATTTCATCAGACGGAAAATGTCTTCACTTCCTGGAGCAGCCAGTCTCTGTCTTGGCTGAAGTGGACAGTCCATCACAACCTTGATCCATAATGTCCAGTGTTTATCACACAGGCCCCGAGAGCTGCTTCAAGGGTAAAGCTATGATTTTTAAAACAACTTAAGTTTGGACCTTTAACCTCCTCTCTTGATTACTTAATTTATCACTCACATAAAATTGTATTGGCAGTGCCAGGGTGGTGGTGGTGTAGCGGCCTAATTCTCCACACGCAGCACTGGCATCCCATGTGGGCGCCAGTTCATGTCCCAGCTGCTCCCATTCCAATCTAGCTCTCTGCTTGTGGCCTGGGAAGGCAGCAGAGAATGGCCCTGGATGATGGACTCCTGTCCCACATGGGGGGCCGAGAAAACTCCTGGATCCTGGCTTTGTGGCCATTTAGGGAGTGAACCAGTGGATGGAAGACCTCTCTCTCTCTCTGTGTATCTCCTCTCTTGGTAAAATCTTCCTTTCAAACAAACAAAAAAGCTCTTTAAAAAAATTGGATTGGCACTTTCTCCTAACACATAATAAAACAGGTAGCAACAGCCTCAAAAGAATAGAAAAGCAAATTTTCCAAATTTTCCAAATCTCAGATTAGACCGATAGGAACAACAACAAAGGTCTTGCTTCCCCCGAACAGCTTAAGTTACAGAAAATGCTAAGTGAGGCAATTCTGAGCTAACGCAGCCTGTGGGCAGTGGTGACTGCCACCCAGGACATACCCGCAATGGGCGGGGTCTCGGGAGAGTCACTGTGACTGACTCCGGCCGGAACGACAGGCAACGGGCAGGGGCCATGGCCACAACTCCTGTCCACGGACCAAGGGCCTCCCAGGCACAGCCACAGCTCCTGCTCATGGGCCAAGGGCAGAAGCGCCTTCCACTTGCCTACCAGCCATGGCCACAGCTCCCGCTCATGGGCCAAGGGCAGAAGCGCCTTCCACCTGCTTACCAGCATCTTTCCCGCCTAGCTCCTCCCACCAATGATTCCCCCGTGTTTCTTCATTCAGACACACATCCTCTTTCAACCTGTGACTCCGCCCTGGAGCCAGGAAAAGCAAGGCTTGTGTGTGCAGGATGCCAGCAGGTGCCCCCCATGCTTGTCCTTTCGTGATCGGGACCCACCGACCTACGAGGCAGCAGCATTTGCTGAGACACTGCTTGATCAAAAGAGTGCTTTCGGATTCGCCTTGGAGTTTCCAAAACGACCATGTACTTCTGTTACATTTTCAAATGATTATTTTGCCAAATTACCACTGAAAGGTTAATGGTTATTTGCCAAATTGGTCTCAGATGTTTACCATTTTTCTCAGACGTCCTCAGGAAGATCATGTCAGCAGGGACGCGCTGGTTCTGCATTGTGAGAAAGAAGAGAAGGTTACTGTGCAGGCTCCGCCCCCCGACCCTAGGATGGGGAGGCGAGGGGCCAGCCCCACCCTGCTCAGGCTCTTGCAAATGGCCGCCTCTGTCAAGGACGGAGATGGGGATTTATTTTGTTTTGAATCCGAAAAATCTTGCACTAGGCTGTTACTCCGTTAATCCCCTAGTGAATCTTATCTCTGAAAAGGAGCTCCTAGTTTTGCCGTAAATCCTACCTTGAAATTCCAGCCCCAGCTGCAAACCCACCCCAGCTGCTTCTCTTCTAGGCCACCTGTGGACCCCCCAGACCAACACCCTCAGCTCCACTTCTGGCTTTGACCTGTTTCCCAGTCAACACCTGGCTTTTGGGGGGAGGGGGTTAATAGGGAAGTCAAGCAGAAAGCGGCCACAAATGCCATCGCCCACAGAAGGCGGAAGCCTTGCACAGACCCCTGGTGTCACTGCGGTGGGGAAGCTATGGCCACATGGGGTGACCCGCCAGGGTCTGCTGAGCTGCCATCTCAAGCAGCCTCACTTCATTTCAAATCAACTTTGAGTTCTCACATTTAATCCTTTTAGAAGAGCACCGTTCAATCCCTACCAGAAACGAGCCAGCACATAATCCTTTTCTAATCAAATGTTATTCCAAGACCCTCCAGGACTGCCTTCCAAATCCAACGCCCTCTATGCACACACCCTGTGCTAAGAGACACGTGTGTTTGTTCATACAAGTAACAGGCATATTCACACTGCTTCTTTTTTAAACCACATTTTTGGCCTTGTTATTGTTCTCATGTTACATTTAACCCCTGCGTCCCATAAAACAGTCAGCAAGCACAGCACTTAAAGGCAAAAATGCAAGCTCCAAAGACTGAGCAAAGAGATGGAGAACTACTTTCAAAGCGTCTGTGCAGCAAGCTGACTCCAAGGAAGGATTTGATGATCACTTTCTATACTTCCAAAACAATAAACACATTGGGGCCAAGAAATCAAAACTTGGCGCTTGCGATTTTAAGCAGAATTCCCTGCTAACCCGCACACATCCATGTTGGATAGAAAGCTTTCTCTGTGTCTCCAGGAAAGGAAACTTCTCTCCCCAGGCCAAGCGTCATCAACCAGCTTGTCCACCCATGCTCGGCTCCAGGCTGAGGTGGCAAAACTCCGCATTTGCGCACACACGTGGCCAGCCGCGAGCTGCCGTCACTCACCTTCTCCACAATGATGAGATCCCCAACTTGGATGTTGGAGCTCTTCACCTTCACGGTACCTGCAAGGGAACAGGTGCACGGTTCATCACTGTCTCCATCCACCTGCTTCAGCAGGCTGTTCCTGCGAGCCTGCGGCCAACAAGCCAACAGCGCCCACCCGCAGCAGGAGTCAGCCCAGCCACCACACACGCACCTCCTCCCCTTCCCCCCAAGATTCAACCGCACACCCACTGCTGCGCAAGTGAAATCATCACCCCCTCCACAAAAAGCAGCTGAGCCCAAATGACTGATTTCCCTTTCGATTTCCACATCTGCGCGTGGCTTAGACGCTTGAGGTCAGAGACCCTGGTGTGTGCTGGACGTCCATCAGGGCGAGTGCCACAATCTAACACTGAGCACTCAGCCTGGGCTGAGCGCCGTGCAGACAGACGCTGATGGCTTCAGTTCACCTGCGTGGTCGCTGTCCAAAGGAGCCAGAGGAGGAAAGCAGGGGCAGAAAGCGTCCTCTGCCTTGCCCCGCTCTGTCTCAGAGCCAGAACAGGTCAGTGCTGCCACCGGCACCCACATCAAGGTGCACAGTACATGACAGACAGCAGCGAGCTCAGCCCAGCTCTAAGGACAGGTGACAGACCCTGTGCCAGCCCTGGTGTCAACACACATGTCCCACGAAGAGCTCACAGAGGCACACCTAGGTCTCACTGGCCAAGTACCAGTGTCCTCAGCCTACGGATGAAGGTTCTTCTCCCTCCAAAAGACAAAACAACAAGAACAACAAAAAACAACCCCCCCAAAAAAGCCCCAAAAAACCACACACACACAGATCTCTGGTACATGTAGATTTTCCCTTTGAAAACACAGAAGCCACCTTGGCTCTCGGGGCTGGATGTGGCCCACAGGCTTTGCTCCATACCCTCTATTTCAGCAAGAGAGACCATCAGACAGATGTTGTTAGCGCCAAAGAGCATTGAACAGTGATGGCAGGTGCAGACAGGAGGGGAAGCTCCCCTCCAGAGAAGGACCTGGAACAGCTCCCAGCACTGAGAAGGCAGCCCGCCACTCAGCACTCAAGCAATATCTACTGATGAGTGGAGCACACACGGAACTCAAACGGTGGTGGACAGGAGGAGGAAAGGAATCACGGGCAAATAGGGGTGGGGAAGCAGGGCAGCAACATCAACAAACTCTTCACAGGAGAGTTGAGGCCAGATTCAGCCAGCCAAAGGGTACTGTTGTTTCCAGGAACCAGTGAAAAGGCAGCCAAGGGCTGGCACTGGGACTTAGCATGTAAAGCCACTGCCTGCAGTGCTGGCAACCCTTATGGGTGCAGGTTCAAGTCTAGCTGCTCCACTTGCAATCCAGCTCCACGCTAATGGGACTGGGAAAGCAGAAGAGGATGGCTTAGGTGCTTGGGCTCCTACTGTTCATGGGGAAGCCTATTTAGAGCCTGGTTTTGGCCTGGCCCAGCCCCAGGAGTTGTAGTCATTTGGGAGACGAACCAGTGGTTGGAGGATCTCTCTCTCCAATTGTGCCTCTCAAATATGTAAATAGAAATCTTTAAAAAGAGGCAACCCAAGCTCGATAAAGTAACTTCCCCAGTGCTGCACCACACGCGGGCGGCCAAAGGCTGGAGTTCCTCCCCCAGGGCCGGAAGCATCCCCCCGAAGCACCCTGCGGCACGTCCGGGCAGCACATCCACCTGCAGTCTGGTGGTGGACTGGGTTTTCACACAAGGGAGCAGTGTCCCACAACCTCTGCTGATCACGGTGTCTCACAGGAGGCCCATCTGACTCACCAGTGCTCAGCCAAGACAGGAGAAAGGTAAGACATAATGCTTTCAACCCCTCAGCCAGCTCATGCCCAAAGCTGGAGCGAGAAGGGGAACAGGGCTGCTGTTCTGGGTGTGCTCCCTCCTTCCGGCACCAGGCAGCCTTCACCCGCCACCCCTTTCTGCTTCATAAAGAAGTGTAAGACACTGAAATAGCCGCACTGCAACAAGCCACTGCCTATGACACCAGCATCCCATATACTGCGGTGCCAGCTTTAGTTCCAGTTGCTCCACTTCCAGTCCAGCTCCCTGCTAATACACCTGGAAGGCAGCAGCAGACAGCCCAGGTACCTGCGCCCGTACACCCATGTGGGAGACCAGGATGGAGCCTCTGGCTCCTGGCTTCAGCCTGGTCCAGTCCCAGATGCTACATCTATTTGGGGAGGAAACAAGCAGATGGAAGATTCCTCCCCCTCTCTCTCCACCTTTTAGATAAACACATTCAAAAATAATGTTTTAACAGGAAATAATCTGTATACTCTATCACAGTATTAAAAACTGTAAACAGTTTTCAATGGAATTTCAAGGGATGTGTATTTTAGGTAATTCACCATCAGCACTGAGGTCACTTCTACTGGAACAATGCCCCTTAACAGGCTCTGCAGGGTTGGACGGCAACTGTCTTCACGTCATCACACTTCAGCATTATGAGTAAGCAGAGCTGGCCCTAAGCGAGCTGCACACCACCACAACGGACTCCGAACGTTCAGCATCTGATGGGCAATGGACCACTCCGCCCCCAGGAGTCGCTAGGCTCTCCATGCCCACCCACATCAGGGTCTTGCCCTGGTAAAATGTGGCAAAACGTAGTATTACACACAATCTGGCAGCCTGAGCCCAGGCAGGCAAAAAGCTAGAGAGAGACCTACCGGTGAGTGTGTTTAAAGGACTGCAGAACATACATTAACCCAGTTAGAAACGTTTGCTCTGGGGCCCTGGTGTCAGACACTCCCTGTTTATAGCACACTCCAGAAAGGTTCAATTCCCCTCCAACTCACAAAGCAGCGCTTGCATACAATCTGCGCAACCACTGGGATTTTTAAAAAAACATTTATTTATTTTTATTGCAAAGTCAGATATAAAGAGAGATGGAGAGACAGAGAGGATGATTCACTCCCCAAGTGACCGCAACAGTTGGTACTACACCAATCCAAAGGAGCCAGGAGCTCTTCCAGGTATCCCACACAGGTGCAGAGTCCCAAGGCTTTGGGCCATCCTGGGAGCTGGATGGGAAGCAGAGCTGCTGGGATTAGAACCAGTGCCCATATGGAATCCCAAGGCATTCAAGGAGAGGACTTTAGCCACTAGGCCACCACACCAGGCCCAACCATTGAGATTTTTTAAAAGTCATCTCTAGATTGTTTGGAATACCTACCACCCAGAAAATGTCATGCAACCATCAGCTACATTGTACATATCAGCAACAATGTGATATCTCCAGTCCCTGTTTGACTCAATCCCTGGATACAGAAGCAGCCAACGCCCAGAGCCCATGACAATCAGAAGTCCAGTAACAGAGGGTTTGACTGGGGCTGGCTCCAGGACATGGTGCGCTAAGAGTCCACCTGCGGCACTGGCATCCCCTATCCCCGCTGCTTCACTTCTGACCCAGCTCTCTTCTTCATGGCCTGTGAAAGCAACAGAGAACGGCTCAAGTCCCTAGGCTCCTACACCCACATGGGACGCACGGAGGTAGCTCATAGCTCCTGGCCTTGGATCAGCTCAGCTCCAACCATGAAGGCCATCTGGGGAGTGAGCCAGCAGATAGATGCAAAGTGACTCTCATCCTGTACTTCTCTCATCTTCTCTGCCTCTTCTCTCTATAACTCTTTCAAATAAAAACAAAACTTAACATTAAGAAGAGGTTCTGCCTGACCCTCTCTTCTCATCCCACCGAGATGCGGCAGGCAGCGTGCTCACGAACAGGCTGTTCTCCCGTGACTTCACAAAGGCACTGCCAGGAAGGCGCTTATAAATCTAAGCTGGCTCTGGGCGCCAGGGAACTTTCCCTTCATCTGAGCAGCCTCCAGCTTTCACAAACATAAATTTACACATTGTCTTGGGGTTTATTACTGAAATTTATGCTGTTGGCCTGACCCCCCACACACACACCTGTGTTCAGATCTGCACGAGCTGCTTACAATGATTTTTTTGAGAACCGGACTCCAGGAAGAGCAGGTGTTTTAATTCTTCCTGACTGGTAACTGCCACTGAACACTGGTTAGTGCGATCGAGCAGGAGACGGGGGAAGGGGGGCATCAGTGCATTCCCCAAGAGGGGCACCTTCACCCCTTCCTCCAGCACACACATTTCTCAACATTTCACATTCCATATTTACAATAAGCATGAGCTTGCTTTGCTGGCAAGAAAAAATAATACAGTAAATCAGCTTGGAGGTCTAAGCGACCAGACCCAGCTTTTCCCCTTCTGCCACTGAGTGCTGATTTACGACCAGTTCATCTGAACTCTGCCTCTCTGTCCATCTGCTCTGCCTCAACCAAACCCCTTTAATCCACGGTGTTTGCAGAGCGGTTGCTGAGTAACTCCAGCAGGCCGATCCCTCCAGCAAACACTCCTACTGTACCTGCCCACCCACTGGCCACCAGGTGCCTGGCTCCCCGGCAGGAGGACAGCAGGAGTCGCGCTGTCACCAGTCACTCCAGCTGCTCAGCCTCAAATCCCCCGTGAACATTCCAGAGGCTGGGGGAGTGGATCGCAGCTCAGCAGCTCCCACCAGGGAGACGCCAGACTCTCTAGCCCCAGGGTGCTAACAGGGTGCTCACCAGAAATGTGGCATGTGGACTTTCTTCTCCATGTTGCCATTTTTGGATAATCAAAAACAAGTGTGTTAGGCCTGGGTCTGGAGTATCTGGTGGGGGCAGGGTGGTCCTGGGGCCAAGGAGTACTTCCCTGCTCTCTGTATGGCCACAGGGACCGCTCCACCAGCCATGCACTAGGGCTGGCCATTGGCATCTGGCCCCAAAGCCCCCCAATGTGACGGCTTCCCAAGCCAGCAGGAAAGGTAGGCACAGCTAGTCAGGGAGACAAAGCAGGGCCCAAGCTGGACATGAGGGCCACTGGGTGGCTGGGCCTGACTCCCAGGAGTCAAACCTTTGTAGGGTGGGAAGGGCCCCACACCTGCCTGACTTCTGACCTCTCACCCACTGCTGAGTCTTCCACAAGCCGGGAGGAGAGAAAGAAAAACAAGACACAGAAAAGCCCTAACAGCCTCTG